AAAAAAAAGAATACATATGTGTGTTATCACTTGAAAAATACATCAACCATTAATTCACAATATTAATAGAGCAAAGAGATAGAGAAGAAAAAATCTGACAAACACCAAGTTCCTGATGAAAACTAGGATTTAGTAGAAACTGTCTACAACAGATGAAACAGACACAAAAAACTCAACAGCAAAAACAAGCTTAATGGACAAAGACTAACTGTCTGTTCCTGATATAAGAACCAAGGCAAAGATTTTTGGCTGTCACTACTTCTATTCAACATTAAAATACCTTACTGGAAAAAATAAAATTTCTTTATTCAATAGCAACATAAGCATTTATTGAAAATCCTACAGTAACTATAATAAAATACTAACATAACTTGCAGATAAAGATTCAGTATACGAAACAAAATATATTTCCCAATGTCAGCAATAAGCAATCATTAATAAAATTTACAAAATGATAAATCTAACAAAAGATTGGGCAAGACCGCTACACCAAAAACTGCAAAATATTCTCAAATACTGTTAACAATGGGAGAAAACTTGAATGAGAAGAATGTGATGATCTTCTAGGTACGAATCTGCCATTTTTTTAAATCTAAAATTATTTTTAAATGAAGGGTTAATTAAAAAAAATCATTCCTGAGAAAAATCAGTAGCCTAACATTAAATGAGAGGCATACTTAATTCACTTGTCAAAATACTCAATATTTGCGGCGCTGTGGCTGCACGCCTGTAATCCTAGAGCTCTTGGGAGCCGAGGCGGGGCGGGTTGCCAAGGTCAGGAGTTCAAACCAGCCTGGAGCAAGGAGCGAGACCCCGTCTCTACTATAAATAGAAAGAAATTAATGTTGGCCAACTGATATTATATATATAAAAAAAGAATTAGCCGTGCATGTTGTGGCGCATTGCCTGTAGTCCCAGCTACCCGGGAGGCTGAGGCAGGAAGGACTTCATCGAGCCCAGGAGTTTGGAGGTTGCGTGAGCTAGGCTGACGCCACGGCACGTCACTCTAGCCTGGGCAACAAAGCGAGAACTCTGTCTCAAAAAAAAAAAAAAAAAAAAAAAAAAAAAAAAAAAAATACGTCAATATTATTAAAATTCTTCCCAAATGCATCTATAAATTTAAATGCAGATCCTCATCAAAAGTTCCTGGAAGAATTTTTGTATAAACTGTCGAAACTGCATACTAAAAGGCAAAGGTAAATGACCTACTACAGTCAAAATAACTGTGAAAAAGTAAGGGAGAGAGTTGAGACAATTACTTCTAATTTTAAGGATGTTTATTGAAAAACTATAAGTAAATAGAGTAGTATGATATTGACATCACCACCAAAAAAAAAGGATCAACAGAACAAAGTCTAGGACAGAACCTACATATATATATATGTGATATAGATATATATAGGTAGATAGACAGACAACTGACTTTTGACAAAGAGCAAAAGGCAGGCACAGAGATAAAGGGACAGTGTTTTCAACAAATGATACTGGAACAACTGGGTATCCAGTATGAAAAAAAATCAACTTTATTACTCTATGACCAAATACAAGAATTATTATATCACAGCCTAAATGAAAAACTTAAAATATATAAAACTCCTAGAACAAAACACAGCAGAAAATCTTTGTGACCTTGAGCTACGCAAAGATTTCCTAGATACAACAGGAAAGACACAGCCCAATATAGAGAAAAACTGATAGCTTGGACTTCACCAAAGCATAAAACTTCTGCTCTTTTGTGGTTTTTTTTGAGACATAGTCTCGCTTTGTTGCCCAGGCTAGAGTGAGTGCCGTGGCATCAGCCTAGCTCACAGCAACCTCAAACTCCTGGGCTCAAGCAATCCTTCTGCCTCAGCCTCCCGAGTAGCTGGGACTACAGGCATGTGCCACCATGCCCAGCTAATTTTTTCTCTATATATTAGTTGGCTAATTAATTTCTTTCTATTTATAGTAGAGATGGGGTCTCCCTCTTGCTTAGGCTGGGGTTAACTCCTGACCTCAAGCAATCCGCCCGCCTCAGGCCTCCCAGAGTGCTAGGATTACAGGCGTGAGCCACCGTGCCGGGCCTACTTTTGCTCTTTGAAAGACACCAGGAGAATGAAAAGACAAGCCACTGGGGAATATTACCTACATAAGCACATATCTGATAATGCTGTATCCAAGGTATATAAAGAACTTTCTAAAACTCAGTAAATAAGAAAACAATCTAATAAAGAAATGGGTAAAAGATCTGATTAGAGATCAGACCATATTTCCAAATAGATAGAAAATTAGCACATGAAAAATATGCCCAACATCATTAAAGAAATGCAAATTACAGCCACAATGAACTATTACACACCTCATTGTTAACACCTAGAATGGTTAAAGTTAAAAAGACTGAACATACCAAGTGCTCATGAGGAAGCAAACAACTGGAAAATCTAATACACTGCCATTGGATTGTAAAGTATATAACCACTTTGGAAAATAGTGTGGCAATGTCTTAAAAGTTTAATATACATCTACCATATCATCTAGAAATTCCACTCCTTAGTTTTACTCAAGTGAAGTGAAAGCATATATCCATGCAAAGACAATTTCGTAATTGCTCTACTGGTAAAAGCCAGAAACTGGAAAATAGCCCAAATGTCCATTAATAAGTGAAAGATTCCAACAAGAGTGGTGTATCTGTACAAGAGAAAACTACTCAGCATTAAGAAGGAATGAATACTGATACATGCAACACATGATGAATCTCAAATAATTATGATGAATGGAAAGAAGACAGACGAAAAAAAGGAGTACATACTAGATGATTCCATTTACACAAAATTTTAGCCATAGCAAAAAGGAGATTAGTGGTTCCCTAGGGAAGGGGGCAGGAAAGGAGATTACCAAGCAGCATAGGAAGTTTGGGGAGTTGATAGATATATTATCTTGATTATAGCAATGATTTTATGGCATAAGTATGTCAAAATTTATCAAATTGTTCACATTAAACATACTGTTTATAGTATATTAATGAACCTAAAGAAAGCTGTTAAAAATGTTAGTTTAAAAGAAAGATGCATATACTTGTTATAAAGGAGCCAAATTAAAAAGGGAAAAATAGGCCAGGCATGGTGGCTCACGCCTGTAATCCTAGCACTCTGGGAGGTCCAGGAGGGTGGATTGCTCGAGGTCAGGAATTTGAAACCAGCCTGAGCAAGAGCGAGACCCCATCTCTACTATAAATAGAAAGACATTAATTGACCAACTAAAAATATATATACAGGGCTGGGCACAGTGGCTCACACCTGTAATCCTAGCACTCTGGGAAGCCGAGGTGGGCAGACTGCTGGAGCTCAGGAGTTCGAAACCAGCCTGAGCAAGAGCGAGACCTCGTCTCTACTATAAATAGAAAGAAATTAATGTCCCAACTAATATATAGGGAAAAAATTAGCCAGGCATGGTGGCGCATGCCTGTAGTCCCAGCTACTCGGGAGTCTGAGGCAGCAGGATTCCTTGAGCCCAGGAGTTTGAGGTCGCTGTGAGCTAGGCTGATGCCATGGTACTCACTCTAGCCTGGGCAACAATGCGAGACTCTGTCTCAAAAAAATAAAAATAAATAATAATAATAATAAAAAAAGGGAAAAATAATCAGATGACTAACAGTGTCCTAAGCTAAAAACAAATTAGCTGCTCAGTAGTAGCACAGACATTCACACTACTGAGCTCCATTCTAAGGCCCCTCTAATGGATGGAAGTGCTCTCAGTACCATCTTCACAGAACAGATAAGTACGAGAGTGGAAGAGTAGTAGTTGAGCACAGCAGTATTTCTTCCAACACTTCTCAATGCAGATTAGTAGCAAGATTCCACAGCAAAAGCAGGGACACAGGGGCCTATCCAGGTGGGCAGCCCTCACCATCAGTTTATACTTAAAACAAGTAAATAAATTTTAGAAAATTTCAGAGGAATGTGTGAGTTTCAGACCCTTCAGACAATCCTCCATAATTATCTGCATAGTCCACAGGATATAGATAAATAAAGAATTGAGTTCAAGATCATTCTCCTAAGCAAGTGCAGAAGTCATTCTCATTAGGTCAGTACCAAAAATGTCCTCAAAAAAGAGTGATGGATTTTACTCTAGGCTTCATCTTCTCATTCTCCTGTGTCTCTGGGACTCCAATTATTTAAAATTTATCACATTTTTAGGTATCATTTTAAGATGTCTGATTAAATCATTTTTGAGCAGGGGCAGAAAGAAGCTCAACATGTGCAGGTGAAATAGATACAAAATAGGCCGGGCGTGGTGGCTCACGCCTGTAATCCTAACACTCTGGGAGGCTGAGGTGGGCGGATCACTCCAGGTCAGGAGTTCAAAACCAACCTGAGCAAGAGCAAGACCCCATCTCTACTATAAATAAAAAGGAATTAATTGGCCAACTAATATATAGAGAAAATATTAGCCGGGCATGGTGGTACATGCCTGTAGTCCCAGCTACTCGGGAGGCCGAGGCAGCAGGATTGCTTGAGCCCAGGAGTTTGAGGTTGCTGTGAGCTAGGCTGATGCCATGGCACTCACTCTAGCCTGGGCAACAAAATGAGACTCTGTCTCAAAAAAAAAAAAAAAAAGAAATAGACACAAAATGTAACTATAAGCTTTTGAAGGGAAAGAGAGACTAAGAAAGTAAGATTCAAAAAAAGCAAGTACCAGTGACCTTTCACATAGAGAGTTCTGCCTAAATCATTACCAAACTTGCAAGAGCCTGATGACCCAAAGAACTTATGACCAAGTAGAATCAAGAATAAAATTTCAACCAGGTGCAGTGGCTCACACCTGTAATGCCAGCACTTTGGGAGGCCAAGGTGGAAAGACCACCCGAGCCCAGGAGTTCTAGTTTACAGTGAACTATGATTGTGCCACTGCATGCTAGCCTAGGCAATAGAGCAAGACCTAGTTTCTTAAAAAAAAAGAAAAATTTTAATTAAAAAAGTTTGTTAAAAATAAAAATTTTTTAAAATAGTAAAATTCCCTACCTTACAAGCTGAGGCAAGCAGTGTCTTTGAATTGTTACAAGCAACACAAAATATTTCATAACCATGTCCATATCTAAAATTGAAAAAGAGAACATATGCAACCTCTGTATTAGTAAATGTATCTATTTTCATGCTGCAAAATTTAAAAAGTGAAAAGAATAACATCAGTCTCTCTAGTTAACATACAATTCTTTTAAGAAACATATTTTTGTCTAGGCAAACATTTTGTGGGAAAAGCAGGAAGACTAGAGAAAAATGCCAGCTTCCTAGAAGTAATACAACTCATTCAAACAATTAGATTAAGTTTTCACCTCATAACCTCAACCAGCCAGTACAATAAAAAATAAAACATGGGTTTTGATGAGAAACCATCAAAGTAGAAAAAGACCACTAAGAATAATAAAACTTAAGCCTTTTTAATAAAGGAAAAAGATAGGTTATGCTCCTCAACTTTAAAAATTAAGACCAATAAACAAATCTAATAAACATAATAAATAGTAATATAGGCCAGGTGTGGTGGCTCATGCTTGTAATCCTAGCACTCTGGGAGGCCAAGGCGGGAGGATCGCTTGAGCTCAGGAGTTCGAGACCAGCCTGAGCAAGAGCAAGACCCCGTCTCTACTATAAATAGAAAGAAATTAATTGGCCAACTAATATATATATAAAAAATTAGCCAGGCATGGCGCATGCCTGTAGTCCCAGCTACCTGGGAGGTTGAGGCAGGAGGATCGCTTGAGTTCAGGAGTTTGAGGTTGCTGTGAGATAGGCTGACACCACGTCACTCTAGACTGGGAAAGAGTGAGACTCTGTCTCAAAACAAAACAAAACAAAACCAGTAATATAAAAATCAATGTTAGGTTTGATTCTCACTTTTTATGGAGAGGCACTAAAAGATCTATAGAGCAGGAGATTTAAATGTAGGTATGAGGAAGGCAAAGGAGAAAATCAAGTTGTGGGGGAAAAAAATCACAAGTTACCACAGAATCAGATCAAATAGCTAAGTATAGCTTAACTTACAGTTTTTGAACTTCAGGCCACAATGTATTCTGCAGAAGATGATCCTCAGTGGGAGGTTCTACAATAAATTTATAGTACTACAATTATTTTTTCATCCAAATAAAAAATGAATTCTACAGCATTTTTTTAGATCAGCGGCAACAGATCCCATACTCTAGTGTACTAGTAATTTTATTAAATCATCTTTTTGCCATTTCTTACCAGTAAGTATGGAGGGTTGAAAGGCCACCGGGTGATACTCGAAACCAGTACTAGTTAACAGCTCCTCTTTATCAGAAGGCTGAGAAAGTATATCTCCTAGTTTAAAGAAACACATCAAGATCAGGAATGTAGTCACTACCTTTATGTTTCCTACACTTGTCCCAATATAAGGCCACCAGATAGAAAGCAGTGACACTTCGAAGTGGTATAATTCAAAGGTGTGTCCACATAATTCCAAAAACAAGGGTTTTTCCACTACTCCGGTATTTTCTAAATGTGCTCTTTAGAGCATTAATCAATTCCACAGAGATTCCTTCCATTTTCTTTTGATCCAACAGTTCCCAAACTTTTTACACTACACAACAGATTCTTCAGGTTACTCACATTCTCATCTGTGGCTGTAGTATTCCATGAAACACACTTTGTGAAAATTGCACCTATTTCAGTGGCCTGAGTGTGTACAAAGATGCTTACTGTGAAATATGTGATGGAGAAGACAGATGCATGTATTGTAATTTTTAAAAAATTAGCTGCAACCATTATTAGGTACACAGTATACAAGAATATAAACTCAGTTATAGGCCAGGCGCAGTGGCTCACGCCTGTAATCCTAGCACTCTGGGATTCAAAGGCAGGCGGATTGCTCGAGGTCAGGAGTTCAAAACCAGCCTGAGCAAGAGCAAGACTACTATAAATAGAAAAAAATTAATTGGCCAACTAATATATAGAGAAAAAATTAGCCAGGCATGGTGGCGCATGCCTGTAGTCCCAGCTACTCAAGAGGCTGAGGCAGGAGGATTGCTTGAGCCCAGGAGTTTGAGGTTGCTGTGAGCTAGGCTGATGCCACAGCATTCACTCTAGCCTGGGCAACAAAGTGAGACCCTGTCTCAAAAATAAATAAATAAACAAACAAACAGACAAACAAACAAACTCAGTTGTAAGTACCACTATGCATTCAATGATTTTGGAGACAAAAGCCTTACCCTGAAAAACAGCTTTATTTGATAGTCCCAATGCAGGGACAGTAGCTCCTTCTGGAAGATCACTGTCTTGCTGGAATAAAAAGTAAGATATATAAGTTTTAGATGCTAAAAGCTACTGTTACTTTAGGCACTACAAAAATGTTATGCTCATAAATGCTGAGAAATACTTTAAAGATCACCTCATGTGGATGTCCGCCCACACTTCCACTTCAAGAAGCAACAGATGCAATACTAGGCAATCACTCTCCAACAGACAAGTCCTACCTAACCTCCAACCCTCACCCAATCCATGAAGTCAGGCATCCTCTCATCCATGAGCTCATCAGACCCTAACAGCTCAAAGGGTTTCACCATCTGACAGGAAATGCAGTGGGCTGAAAATGGAAGGCCCAGAGTTCCACGTTCAAGAGATTCTCGCAGGCACATCCCTGATGATACTCATATAAACACAGATGCTTCCCAGAAGGGCACAGTCATAGTATTTTCATTAAACATACTTAAGCAATTGAATATTTCAAAACTTTGCAAGAGTGCCATCTGAAGAGGCAATAATCTGCTCAGACTCGGCAATTTACATCAATCAAATTATCAGCAGCAACAGATCCCATACTTCATGTACTAGTAATTTTATTAAATCATCTTTTTGCCATTTCTTACAAGTATGGAGGGTTGAAAGGCCACCTGGTGATACTTGAAACCAGTACTAGTTAACAGCACAGTTAGCATAAGTGAAACTATATGCTAACCATCAAAATTGGTACATGCCCATATGCTAGAGTGTTTTTTACAATTTAGACTTTAATACAGGAGCTGGAACTGGACACAAACATGAATGATGAGAATTTATTTATTTATTTATTTATTTGTTTGTTTGTTTGTTTGTTTATTTAGAGACAGAGTCTCACTTTGTTGCCCAGGCTAGAGTGAGTGCCGTGGCATCAGCCTAGCTCACAACAACCTCAAACTCCTAGGCTCAAGTGATCCTCCTGCCTCAGCCTCCTGAGTAGCTGGGACTACAGGCATGCGCCACCATGCCCAGCTAATTTTTTCTATATATATTAGTTGGCCAATTAATATTTTTCTATTTAGAGACGGGGTCTTGCTCTTGCTCAGGCTGGTTTCGAACTCCTGACCTCGAGCAATCCGCCCACCTCTGCCTCCCAGAGTTCTAGGATTACAGGCGTGAGCCACCACGCCCAGCCCAATGATGAGAATTTAAAATCACCATCAAGAGCAGCTACCTGGGACATAAGAAACTGTATGCTTTATCTCAGAAACCTAGAAAAACAAAAAAGCATGGACAAGAACAATAACAAACTTTCCTACATCTCTATCATAACACATAGTATAAGAGCAAAACCCCAAAGAGAGCAAGAGGCTCTCCAGTCTATAGGATTCTTTTATCTTAGGACACAGAACTGAGTGTATAACTGGGACTAAGCATCTCATGGAAACCTAAAACCCCATTTCAATCCCTAGAACCAAAGCAATCCTGAAACTAACTACTCCTCTCACCTCCATATACTTAGCTCTTTATAATAACCACTCAAGACCCCCCTTTTTGATCTTGCTCCCACTGTTCATTATTATTACAAATAAACAGGCCAGAATCTTAAATCCTTTTCAAATACTCAAGAAAGTCTGTGGCATGAGGGGTTAAGTGATTAGTTGGGCACTTCATTTCAAATAACTTTCACTTTCATCTCCAGTCTTACCCAGACTAATGCTGGTTTCATTGCCTTTAGAGTCTCTGGGCTCCCAGATAAACTTCTTTGTTACAAAATGCTTTTCATCACTTTCTTTGTATAGAAGCTTCCAATGGCACCCCACATTCTGAACAGTGCCTGCCTCTTAAGATACTCCATCATCATCCTCTACACAGTCTTCATTCCCACAAGCACCCCAACAGTTCTGCTCTTTCTCCCTCCTTCTGCCTGTCAAAAGTATATATATTTTTTTTGAGCTCAGAACCAAATTTGTGACCCAAGTCTTAGTAAAGAAAGGACTGTATGATATGAACTTCAGTGTAACATAACCATCTTACAATTTAAGGGAACTTCCTTCAAAATTACTTTATCATTTTCATAATCCATTTATTTTCATAAATAGCTCAAATCTTTTATATAAGGGAATATAAATATAAACAAAAACCTGGCCGGGCGTGGTGCCTCATGCCTGTAATCCTAGCACTCTGGGAGGCTAAGGCACGAGGATCGCTCAAGGTCAGGAGTTCGAAACCAGCCTGAGCAAGAGCGAGACCCTACCTCTACTAAAAATAGAAAGAAACTAATTGGCCAATTAAAAACATATAGAAAAAATTAGCCAGGTGTGGTGGTGCATTCCTGTAGTCCAATCGGGAGGCTGGGGCAGAAGGATTGCTTTGAGCCCAGGAGTTTGAGGTTGCTGTGAGCTAGGCTGATGGCACAGCACTTGACTAAGGGCAACAGAGTAAGACTCTTTCTCAAAAAAATAAATAAATAAAAATAAAAAAAATAAAAACCTACTCTTGCATGGGCAATATATGTAACCTTAACACTTGTACTCCCATAATATGCTAAAATAAAAATTAAAAAAAAAAACACCTACTCTTACAAAACCCAAATGAAGTCCCATTAAACATGTTCTCATTACTCTAATATAGTGACCTTGTCCTTCTATGATATTGACTTTAGTACTGCAAAATTTAGAAATTCACTGGTCTCATCTGACAATTGCAAGTACGTTAGTTCCACTGCCCTACACCTCTACCCTCTCCACCCAAACTCTTACAGCTAGATGGTAATCTCCTTGTAGATAGGACTTATCTTTTGTATTTTGTTTAATACTGAGTACCTGGCACATTGATGGTACATGGTATTCATGTCTCAACTGAAAAATGTAACGGGCTTTATAATGTCTTGAGCTCATTTGTCACAAAAAATTTCTGCTTTTACTTACCTCACTACATGCCACAGTGCACACAGAAGTTTGTCAAGCCAAAAAAGAATATGACTTCCTTTCTACACATATATTCCATTTATAGCCTGAGGCACAAAGTTTTTAAAATTCAAAAGGAAGTGACTACACCTAAGTAAAATATTTAGAGGAATACTCACATTACAAAGCACATGATTCAGTGATTGTCCTGTAATGGCACAAAAATTTTCCACAAAATTTCGAGGTGCAGAAAAAACTCGAAGAACTTTTTCATCTGCTCCAGACACAAACTGAAAACGATTGATCATTGCCAAACATTTCAGGTCATATCCATGTATCTGAGGCCTTGCAATTTCATGCCAAGTCACCTGGGCATTAAAATAGAATAAATAAAATGACATACAGTCTAAAAACCAAATTTTCAATGAGCAAAATATTAGATGCAAAATTATTTACATTGTCATGGAAATATGACCATGGGGCAGATTTGTCCAGGCATAAACCATAACTGAGCAATACTGGTAACAAATCAGCAAGAGCCACAAAAAACTGCCAGGAGTTAGCTACTCTCCCAGCAAAACAGGACCCAAGGCAGGATCATCACAAGGGATTTGGAAATAATAGGAAATAAAGAAATAATATATAGACTGAGAAATGATTGAGATGGAGACAAAGTGCAGTTTAAATGATGGAGGAGTTAGAAGCGCCCAGCATTCTCATAAGCTGTGAGACCACAAGTGAAGTCCCACATCAGTATTTATTATTACAGCAAATAGTTGTCTTTTGTTAGAGAATTATGTGTACAGTTCATTTTTTGAGGTTTCCAGGAGAACCTTGCCTAATTCTGTCTATAAGAATAGACAGTTACAAAATTTTTCTAAGGGAAGCACGTTAAGCCCTAAGTTAGAAACAGACCTAGCTGAGCATATAAATTAAAGATAAAGGCCGGGTGCAGTGGTTCACGCCTGTAATCCTAGCTCTCTGGGAGGCCGAGGCGGGTGGATTGCTCGAGGTCGGGAGTTCGAAACCAGCCTGAGCAAGAGCGAGACCCATCTCTACTATAAATAGAAAGAAACTAATTGGCCCACTAATATATATAGAAAAAATTAGCTGGGCATAGTGGCGTGTGCCTGTAGTCCCAGCTACTTGGGAGGCTGAGACAGAAGGATTGCTTGAGCCCAGGAGTTTGAGGTTGCTGTGAGCTAGGCTGACACCATGGCACTCACTCTAGCCTGGACAAAGCGAGACTCTGTCCCAAAAAAAAAAAAAAAAAAAAAGATAAAATGTATAAAATGAGAACACTGAGTCTGTGTACTAATCTACTTCTTCTAAATACAAAGACATGTAGTCAGGAGTGAAGCAGGAATGGCCTTGAAGTCTAGGATAGTTCCAGCTGTACGTTATCCGGTGGGCAGGCATTTTATCAGCTTCTCTGCCAAGGACCCAAACTGAGCTTCTGCCTTGCAAAAAAAGCTCAAGGCGATGGCCCGCAGCAAAGAAGAAACGTTGCTTTGGAAACGTCCTCTGACAATGCCTCCCTTGGGAGCAGCTTCTATTCTGAACTAACATGTCCACAGATTCCTTCAAGGCAAAGCCTTGCAAAGCCCCTGAAACTTTTCAAGTCTTTTAGCCTATTTCCCAACAAAAAACTACTCCAAATCATTTGACTTGTTTTTAAATTGACTATAGATGCTGTCCCAATGTTCTCAACTGTATTCACTTGAATCTATCATGTGTTATTAAAGCAGTAATGTCAGCGTCAAACTTCATTAGCTCTCATGGACTGACCCATAGTCAGTTCTGTGAATTTCTATCAGAAATTGACACTGAGGATACTGACTTTCTCTACCACATAGCAGTTCAAAGCTTACCAGTGGTAAAATTGTATTGTAATTGCTTGAGCTCAGGGCCAACACTGAAAACTATCATCTAATACTATATGACTTTATAATCTGTCATAGGATTAAAAACAAAGAAAAACACTGTATGACTGTTGGAGACTAAGACCCTTCACATTCCAACGACTTGTCCTACGCATGGGCCTCGCCCCGGAAAATAGCCTAAGACGAAAATAGCACCCAGCCCCCCAGCTATAGTTCCAAAAAGAATGCATTCCATGCCATGCTTGCTCCAGGGCATGCCACCTGCAATTGTTCCCAACCCCCTGCCAGGTTGGGGTTGAGTGATCCATCACAAAGAGCTTCCGGTGCCATTGGGATGCTGATTGGGGCTGATTAGCCCACAGGAAAGCCTCATTATTCCCCCATTCTATTTTTCTGTTTCTACTTCCTTGTTTTCTGTATATAAAACCTACTAAAAATCCAAGTAAAGTAGACCTTGACAATCATTCGCTTGGTCTCGTTTCTTTCTCTCGCTCATCTCTTTCAGGCACGGTCCCCCTCGCCCCTGCGAGTAGCCCCTGCGAGTAACAAAAGGTCCCTCGGGCCCAGACATATGACTTAAGAAATTTGTTTATATTCTACACTTGATAGTATCTCCTAATGAATTGAACCTAAAATTACAAAACATAGCAGAACTTTTATGTGAAACTGAAGTAAATACATTTTGACAACTAACATTTGAATTGTTGTTTAAATTTTGAAGAGTAGGTGTATGATTTAAGTTTTTAAGAAAACACCAGACTGGCTTTATTATTTTGCATTCCCTACAGCAATGTACCAGTTGCTCTGCATTCTTACCAGCACTTGTTATTGTATTGTTTGTTAGCCACTCTAGAGGGTGTGTAGTAGTACCTCATCATGGTTTTAATTTGCATTTTCCTAATGGCTAACAATGTTGCCCCACTTTCCCTGTGCTCATGGATGTTTTTTAAAGTGTACTAGTAAAGTAGGAAGATATTTTACCTGTGATTGGTCTTTTCTCTTCCATGGAGCAAAAAGTCGAGTTGTCTGATCGGTACCAACAGTGATGATAAATTCTCCTTCTGGATCCCACATTAAGTCTTGGACACCATCAAAGTGTCCTGAAATGACAATTTCTGGAGTCCACTCTCTCTGCAATAAGTGTTCATAACACATATTAAAAGAATCAAAGACTATCACCACTTAAAGCACTCATGTCTGTTAACAGAAAAGAATAAAGCCCCCTAGCAAAATGAAAAGTATACAGAATGGGATCATAAAATAAGAGGACCCATTTTCCAATCAACCAAATTAGAACTTAAGCATTCAAATATGTGTCGTACCCTTTAAACCAATAACCTTGGGAAATTTCCTCCCATTCATCACTTATTGAATGCCTACTAACAGCAAGACACCACTTAACCTTTCTGTGCTTCAATTAACCCTTCTGTAAAACAGACATAATAACAGCACCTACCTCATAGGACCATTATGAGGATTAAATGAGTTTGTATTCATAAAGTACACAAGATAATGCTGGCACTAAATAATAATAAAAAAATATTATATAAAATGAGTAAGTAGATTTTGAATGTGGGCCTGATGGCTGTCTTTATTAATTAAAAGGAGTTTTAGGTGGTTCACCACAGAAAAGTGAATCAAACCTAGATGGTCTAATGGCTGAGGAGCCTGAAACAGCAACCATATAACAAATAATGACAACAAAATATAAAAAATGTCATATGTCTCGTCCATAAAGCATCTTTTTGAACAACCTCAAGTGGCAGTAAAACTTGACCTTTAGAAGAAAACTAAATTTGTTTAAGTAGTTAATAGGTCATTTAAAGATAAGTCTAATGAATACAGTGACTAAACTCTATTATTTCTAGCCCCCTCCCCGATGAAAAAGGCTATGACAAAGAAATGACATTAATTTCCTCTCTGACCTCTAAAGTTAGTTCTAATGGGAGTTCACAAAATATTTTGAGCAATGGACAGTATTTTCAGGATAACAGTACTGTTTCCCATAGTAACAGTCCTAAAAGGCAGTGTTTATTTTTAAAAAATCACCCTTGATTGTAATACATTTACCACTCTGATGTAGGATGCGAATAGTGGGGGAGGCCACCTATGGGGGAGAGGTAAGGGTATGTGGAAGTTCTCTACTTTCAGCTCAATTTTGCTGTTAACCTAAAACTGCTATATTTCTACTTTTATTTATTTATTTTTTAAGACAGAGTCTCACTCTATCACTGGGGCTAGAGTGTAGCGTCCTCATCATCACTCACTGCAACCTCAAACTCCTGGGCTCAAGCTATCCTCCTGCCTCAGCCTCCCAAGTAGCTGGGACTAAAGGCATGACTCACAGCACCCAGCCCTGCTCTCTTTTTAAAAACAAATCACTTTCTATATTTGGTAAGTAGTTATTATAAATTCGAAATCGAATTATAACCACAACTACAGTGAAATTCTATCTTCTGGTTTGGGTTTCTCCTTCAGCATCAGATGCTTTTTTTCTATGAAGGCCCTCAAAGACTGAGTTAAGGAAATAAAATTTATCCTAAAAAATATTTACTTTAAAAGTGTAACAAAAAAAAATAAATAAATAAAAGTGTAATACCTGACTGACATTCATTCAGTAATAATTAGGACTTAGCAATCCAACAAGAAAATATCAAATTATGTTAAATTCTTTTAAGAGGACAGGGAAGTTATTAATACAAATTTTAGGAAAACTTCCATCTAAAAAAAAATTATATAGCTTAAAGGGATACAGTTCCCTTATGTAGAAAATTTACCTATGTGCAAATTTCAATACCTTAACAATGCTACACAAATATTTTTATTCTCAAAAAAGCATGAGCTTGGCCGGGCGCGGTGGCTCACGCCTGTAATCCTAGCTCTCTGGGAGGCCGAGGCGGGCGGATTGCTCAAGGTCAGGAGTTCAAAACCAGCCTGAGCAAGAGCGAGACCCCGTCTCTACTATAAATAGAAAGAAATTAATTGGCCAACTTATATATATGTAAAAAATTAGCCGGGCATGGTGGCGCATGCCTGTAGTCCCAGCTACTCGGGAGGCTGAGGCAGCAGGATTGCTCGAGCCCAGGAGTTTGAGGTTGCTGTGAGCTAGGCTGATGCCACGGCACTCACTCTAGTCTGGGCAACAAAGTGAGACTCTGTCTCAAAAAAAAAAAAAAAAAAAAAAAAAAAGCATGAGCTTCTTACCCAGTATAACTACAGTCATGTCCACAGAAAAAAAGAATGTCATTTGAACTTAAATGCTTCTACTATGTTTCTATAAAGTATAATAAGTAAAATACTATTTACCTAGGTTTCACTTAGGATTCACACTATTTGATTAGAAATGCTTTATTTAAAAGTGCTTTTCTTTTAGAGACAGAGTCTCACTTTGTTGCCCAGGCTAGAGTGAGTGTCGTGGCGTCAGCCTAGCTCACAGCAACCTCAATCTCCTGGGCTCAAGTGATCCTACTGCCTCAGCCTCCCGAGTAGCTGGGACTACAGGCATGAGCCACCATGCCCGGCTAATTTTTTGTATGTATATTTTTAGTTGGTCAATTAATGTCTTTCTATTTTTAGTAGAGATGGTGTCTTGCTCTTGCTCAGGCTGGTTTCAAACTCCTGACCTCGAGCAATCTGCCCACCTCGGCCTCCCAGAGTGCTAGGATTACAGGCGAGAGCCACCACGCCCGGCCTAAAAGTGCTTTTCTTACCAGGTTAACTGCTCTCTGTTTCCAAAGGTGCAATGCTCCATGGAAAGCATGAGCGATGATCATGGAGCCATCTTCATTGAACTGGCAATCATAAAATCCCAGAGTATTCCCACCTACTTCACCTACTCGAACCTATACAATAAGAAAACAATTCTCAATCAATAGTCTACATTTTCACAATGAAAATAACTGATTTCAGAGACTACTGAATTCCCACTCATTTAATGTGTACAAAGAGTGAAAATTTGCAACTCTTTATAAGTTTGCAGCTCATAAAATCCAATTTTCTGTTTTTTAAAAATCTACATTTTTACCTGTTCTAGCCAAACTCCTGACTCTTCATCTGGAGCCCAGAGAATCATGGTTTTATCCATTGAAGCAGACAGCAACTTCATTGGCTGCTGTAGAATACCATCTAAAAATAAAAACTAATTCCTTTAAGTGATTATGTTTGTAGATTACAACAAAAAAACAACATAGGTACTATAAGAATGTTCACTACAGCATTGTTTATAGTAGCAAAAATTTGCAAGCACCACAAATGTCTACTATTAGAACAACTAAGAGTTGTGGTATATTCAAACAATGGAATATTACAGCATAATAAATGCAAATAACTGAAGCAACATGAATCAACATGGATACATCTCCAAAACATGTTAAGCTAAAAAGGCAAGTTGTAAAAGGATAAATACATACTGATATCAAGTTTTAATAGCTGTAAAAAATATTGTTAGTAGTTATACATATGTGTAGAAGTATAAAAACATGGATGAAAATGATATGCACTGGCTGGGCACGGTGGCTCACGCATGTAATCCTAGCACTCTGGGAGGCCGAGGTGGGCGGATCACTCAAGTCAGGAATTGGAAACCAGCCTAAGCAAGAGCCAGACCCCGTCTCTACTAAAAACAGAAAGAAATTAATTGGACAACTAAAAATATATCTAGAAAAAATTAGCCAGGTATGGTGGCACATGCCTGTAGTCCCACTTACTCGGCAGGCTGATGTAGGAGGATCCCTTGAGCCCAGGAGTTTGAGGTTGCTGTGAGCTAGGCTGACGCCACAGCACTCTAGCCCGGGCAACAGAGTGAGACTCTGTCTCAAAAAAAAAAAAAAAACCCAAAGAAAAAGAAAATGATATACACTGAATTCAGAACTATAATTGCCTCTAGGGAAGGATGGAGGGGAAGGTTCAGGAAAGAATACATAGGAGTCTTTGATATTTCTAATATCCAACTTATTTAAAAAAAAAACTGTAACAAATATGGCATAATGTGAGTAAGAACAGAACGGTGGTTACCTGAGCATTAACTATTGCTACTCTTGCCTTGGAAAGGGGGTGAGAAGGAAGAATGTGAAGTTATGTCTTGCTCAGCTCTATACTCAGCTTGAGCATGCACAGAAACATCGCTCCATAAATGGAAGTAAAGGGCAAAAGAAAGAAGGGGAAAGAGAGTCTTACTTTTTCATAAATAATGTACCTCAGTACTATCAACTCTGTATTACCAAGGGTAAGGAATCCAGTGAAGTTGGGTTACAAGTCAATTTTTCTTAAATCCCCTAACAAACCAGGATGGAAACCTTTAACAGAAAAAGTTAATTGTAGTGTGGTGGTTTTAGCATTATGACAGAAATCATCCTCTTCCCACATAGCAGTTCAATTTTTAATGAAATTGAGTGTCCAAAAGACCAGTAATGCAGCATTAAACTTTGCCAACTTGAAAATGTCTGAGCCAGGCGTGCTGGTGCATGCCTGTAGTCCCAGCTACCCAAGAGGCTGACATGGGAGGATTACTTGAGCCAGGAGTTCAAATCCAGCCTGGGAAACATAACAAAACCCCATCTCAAAAAAAAGAAAGACAAAGAAAAAAGTGTCTTATGCTTGAGATTTATAATTCCACTCAAAAAATCCTACACTTTATCTGGTCAGCTTAAAATTCTATAAGATTTAACTGAAATAAGGGATATGTGTTATGTTTTTCTTCCTACCTTTATAAAATGAAGGTTGCCAATGAACGGCATTTACCCAGTTTTCATGACCAGCTAGCACAGTCTCCAGTGTAATAGCAAATGCTATTTTAATACCTATAACAAAAGCAATGAAGGTATTATTTCCTCAAAGCTCTTCTAAAAAGAACATTTCATAACCAAGTCGGCTATGTAATTATATATAAAAAAAATTAGAACAAAACATGATAGCTGAGATTCAAGAAAAGAACATACATTCTAAATTCCATTAACCTTACCCATTGTTCAAAATTATAGGAGAAAAAGTTCTAAAGATAAATTTTTCTCTGTATTTTTCTCTACCTTATCATAAACAAATACTAAGGAATATGTTCTGTTTTTGAAGATTTCTGGGACAGCTACTATTATACTGTAATGAAAAAGCAAAACAGACATGCAAGCCTCCTTATTATCTTCACTCATTATCAGAATTTAATCACCTAAAATAAAATATCGTTTTAGAAAACGTAAGATAAATGTAGAAATAAAGGAAATAAAATCAGTATTTTGACCTAACTATAAAATACCATGAAAATTTTCATATTTGGATACAGCTACTAATAATATGCTTTTTATATCATTTCTTGGTTCTCCCCATAAAATCATGTTACCAAAATCTCAACTCTAAAGGACTTTAAAAACAAAAAGAGTAATAACAAAGAATTGAATACCTACATGAACAATACTGAAAACTAGTTTTATACTTTAGATATGTATCCAAAAATATCTCCCTCAAATACAACATTCCTACAGGATCTACCATGCAGAAGTACTGTTCTAATGCCAGACAGGAAGAAAACAGAATTACATATACTAATCAAATTTAGGGACGTGGCTTGTCTTTTATGAATATATTCCAACATATACTCCAAAGTACAAATAATTCACACAATTCCTTTAGTTCTTCCCCACGGTAAAACTGCAATTTGGTAACATTTTACAAATTACTTTATTGAAAAGCATTAAACATTATTTTTGGCACTTTAGAAAAGTCTTAATAATATTATTTAAAATAAAAATGTTTTATATGTAAAAAATGACTCATTCTCACATAAAAATAAAAACAGAAAAATGCACACGATCAGTTTCAGGTAAGAATCTGACATTCTGAAAAACTAACCTTCACATTGCTGTGTGTGAAATAAATAAATGAACTATAGCTAGGAGACCTAAGTATTGTCACATCAAATATTTTCATTATTACTCACTTTCATTTTCTATGGTAAAAGTATTTTCTTTCAGTCTTATATTATCATCATCCTGAGTTTCCACAGATGTTGATTTTACATACAGCTTCCATATTCTTATCAGGCAATCTTGTGAACAGCTTGCTAGGAAAAGATCTCCACCTAATTAAAAAATAAATTGTATTGTTTTTAAAACATTATATTCTTAAACTTAGGTAGAAGACTTTCTCTTCTACCATGTGTACATTTCTAGATTACCTGAAAAAATTAGACATTTCCTTACCCTTCATTCATTTCACCTACACTCATCGTTGACAAATATGCGTACAACGCTAATAAATGTTTATATCATGTGGTACTCTTTATATACAGTCTACTAAGTTCTACAAAGAACTTTTCAAGAATGCATGTGGACAGGACAGCTAGTATCATCTTATAAATATCAATTTGTTTCATCCTCTACCACTCAATTAATAGTTAACAGAAGGGATAGGTATCCTCTTTTCTAAATGGGACCACAGAAAAATATAACATACAAAGAAAACTTAAAAAATTAAAACATAAGAGACTGCTTTCTTGCAAGTTACACATACTCATCCCTATCATATGTGCTCTAGCAAAAGTTCATACTGACCAAAGGCTGCCCATTCCACGCCTCTTATCCAATCCTCATGTCCAGAGAGACTAAGCACTTTCTGAAACTAGGAAAATAACAAAAATCATCAGGCTTGATGTAAGAATTTAACATGTTCATGTACATCAGTGACATCATTTGGTCTCAGCCAGTCCTACTGCAGCCCGCTTTTACAACACTCCTTTGGCAATGAAAAATCTCATCATGTTATTATCTAAATCATTAATGGAGCAATGCTAAGTAGATAATATCTGTAGCCTCAAATACTTTAAATGTTTGTTTACAAGATAAAATGACATACAGTAAATACTATATAGAAAAAAGTTAGACAACTGGACTTTCACAATCATTTTTAACTTTCTTATAGCACCGTGAACAAACTAGTATTCTCATTATTAAATAAATGGGTCAGATTTAATCAACCCCCTTTCTGAAACTTCTCTCCCTTAGTTTAAGCACCTAAAGTGTAAGTTAAACTCAGCAGGACAAATAAACGCTACCAGGGGTGCTTTACTGTAGGAATGTTATACCTCATTTAAAATTCTTAAGAAAAAAGAGCACTACCATGGCATCTTCCCTCTCTCTTCCCCTACCTAATGAATGACCTGTTTTCCCTAAAAACCGTGGGCCTGATGGCCAAGGCAATGGTCACTTAGCGGTCCAACAGAGAGTGGAAAACCACATAACAGAGGACTGTCAAAAAAAGATTCTCCATCGGATTATTTTGGTTTACATTATAACATCCATAAAATTCTATAATCTGGAAATTGTATTAAGATATGTAACTAAGCAGAACATAATTCTAGTCTCTTAATAAACATCATTAATTACCTGATCATTTTGTTGAGCAAATAAGTGAATTCTGCAGTCATCATCACCACACGCTAATATTGGTACTGGGGAGAAAAAAACAGGCTTCACTGTGAGTACTATACTCCATCCCATGTTATGATTATCACCCATGCTGGATTCTAAGGTCTAGGCAAAGAATCCTAACTTCTATTTCCCACACCACTGAACAAATAATTGAGAGTGCTTGATAAATGTCTATAGGAATAACATGGATACTCTAAAATGTTCTATTCAATGGTTACTTGGCAAATAATAACTATTAACTGAGAGTCCTTCCCACCATCCTATTTCATTTATGATAGAAGGAGCAGTGAAAAATAAGCTCAAGAGCCAGTAGGGAGCATTTTTACCATGTCAGCCAGAAGACCAAGATAAAACGTTGTTAGCTCAAATGAACAAGAAAAAGCTACTTTGTGCCCAGCACAAATATTTAAGGGTATGTTTGTTACTTCGAGAACTTTATATTTTGTTTGAGAATTCAGTATTAAAACAAAATAAAAGAGCATATAATTAAATATGTGGTTAAAAAGCTATGAAACGTGTAACTGTAAAATCAGTTTTCTTTAATAAGATAAAAAACTAACTAGCTAGCACTCTGGGAGGCCGAGGCGGGTGGATTGCTCAAGGTTGGGAGTTCAAAACCAGCATGAGCAAGACCCCGTCTCTACTAAAAATAGAAAGAAATCAACTGACCAACTAAAAGTATATATACAAAAAATTAGCCAGGCATGGTGGCGCATGCCTGTAGTCCCAGCTACTCGGAAGGCTGAGGCAGTAGGATCACTTGAGCCCAGGAGATTGAGGTTGCTGTGAGCTAAACTGATGCCATGGCACTCATTCTAGCCTGGGCAACAAAGTGAGACTCTGTCTCAAAAAAAAAACTAACTAGCATTACCAAAAGAAAACCCTATCAACATTGAAGCAAGATAAAATAGAGACTTTTCCTAAGGAAACACCTTGTTACAAAGTGTTATTTTTTCAAAGATTTCTGTCACTTTAAATCAACTAAAAAAACAAAAACAAAAACTCTAGTCACTTGGCCTCAGTGTAGACAGGAAGAAATGAAATTCAATGTTATGAGACCAGAATGTGTGCAGCTTCTCCTTCCAGGAGCCCTTGCACAAAACAGAAGCATAACATGAAACCATGAAGTTGCAGCACCTACTGCAGAAGGCAAGAGAAGCTGGCAGCTTCCAGGTCTTGCCTCTCTCCACCTGGCCTGTCCTGTAGATACTGAGGAGACAAAGAGACTGACTGACTCACAATGATTATCATCTTGGTGGAAGATAATCAAAGAGAGGTACAGGTGGGCTTCACAGTGAAAGGGAAATTTTTCTGTCTGGAGATTTTAAGTGGTCTCAGGCAAATTGTCATTTTGCAGAATGTGAAGGGGCGGTCACCTTGAGATGAATGATCACATGGTCCATTTTCAGTAGTTTTTCAACTTATTCCTGACCTTTACCTTCTAAAGAATTAGAAACTTGCCCCAAATTAGATCTATATCCATCTATAATAAATTTGATAATTAGCAGTATCAATCTTGAGCATATATTGTCACTAAAATTTTTAATAGCTAACCAAATCCTAATAAGCCTCCCTTAACTTTGTTCTATAGTCAGATTATTTAAATATTGTAATAAAAGTATGTCATCCACATCTCAATTTGTTTCATGAAAACATTTAAATACAAAATAAGACCATATAATTTCTTTTTGTTCTCAGCACATGGAGATATGCAAATATACTGCTCTTTTAATATATAATTAGCAGGATACTCACCATCAGTATTAGGCAAAAAAGATAAGCAGAGAGCCAGAGTGAATCCATTTCCAAAGTTTAAGGTCTGAAGGCACGTTACTAAGAAATAATAAAAAACACCATGAACAACTGCCTCTGAGCTTATCCATCTAGAGAGGTTGGGTAGCACTGTCATAACCCAAAGTATTAGCAGAGAAATGAGAAAAGCCATTCCCGAGCCCCCACTAACCATGTGAAGTTAAATGGACAAATCTTAACAATGTTACAGAGAACAAAATGATTTATATCAAAAGGCTTAGGATTACATTGTCAAACGATTTGGTATAGAGGAATTTCTAAAAAGTACAAATGAAACAAAAATTGAGATTAGAACTACAGCATTTTTAAATTTGCTTGAAAGTTTGAAAAAATTATATATATACTCTCCTAGTTATCATTCATTTGATGATTAGTATTTCATTTCTCTGGATTATAATGTCTCCAGGCCTACCTTCTGAATCCTTTTTAGACCAGAGTCTAACAGTAGAATCTGAGGCTGCAGAAACTATCAGTGTGTGTAACGCAACATCTGATGTCCTCCCCTGGTAAACAGCATGTACGGCATAAATAGGTCCTTCATGGCCTTGGAGATGAACTGCTTTTAAAAGCTGAATCAGAACGACAGAAGCAGTAGGATTTTAAAAAAAAACAAACAGAAAAACCATCTGTTTCACCTCTATTTAAATGGAATCACAGTAAAGATAACAATAAAATGCCTGACCCAGATATATGTCCTCTAAGTTGAAGACAATAACACTTTCAAGAAGTCTGTCTGACCATACTAACAACACATAAAATGTGCATACCCTTTGACTCAGCAATTTCACACCTAAGAATCTATCTGAGGATGAATAGGGATTCTTCTAAAGTTAAAGAGAAAAAGAAAAAAGATGTAAAGAGTTTTAATTAAAATATTAATAAAAAAAAAATAAAAACAAGAATCTATCTGAGGAGATAATAGCCCTAATATAAAAAATATTAAAGGCCAGGAGCGGTGGCTCACACCTGTAATCCTAGCACTCTGGGAGGCCAAGGCGAGAGGATCGCTCAAGGTCAGGAGTTCAAGATCAGCCTGAGCAAGAGCGAGACACCGTCTCTACCAAAAATAGAAAGAAATTAGCCGGGCATGGTGGCGCATGACTGTAGTCTCAGTTATTTGGGAGGCTAAGGTAGAAGGATTGCTTGAGCCCAGGAGTTTGAGGTTGCTGTGAACTAGGCTGACACCATGGCACTCTAGCCTGAGCAACAGAGTGAGACTCTGTCTGCAAAAAAAAAAAAAAAAAATATATATATATATATATGTATTAAAGACAAAGAATATTATTTACCACTCACTGTTTATAATAATGAAAAATTGGAATCAATCTAAAACTATTAATGGGGAACTGATTGAACAAATTATTACAAACATACCATTATATTATATTATAGCAAATAAAAAGGATAACATAGACAAATGTATGCTTACTACCAAAGCAAGATGTCCACGACAGACATTTTTGAAGAATACTGGCCAGCTTTGTGGAACATTTCTCCTTTGGGATTAATCTGATGCTTCCTCATGAACAGATTCAGGATATACATTTTGACAGCATTACTACATAAGTGCATCACATCATGAGGCACATGATGTCAGTATGCCCAAATTTTAGTGATATTAACCTTTATATTTAGTAAAGATAGTGTATGCCAGGGTTTTTCACTGTGAAGTTAACTTTTTTTTTTTTGGTGATATCTGAGGATCCTTTGGGATTGAGTAAATATTCTAGTCCCCATCAAATTTTTCCCCAAGTAATTTCAGCATCCACCCATATTTACCTAAATCAAGTATGGCTAAAAAATAGAAAAATAGCAAGGCTAAGTAGAAAATCCTATTTGCTTATCAAGTCTATCTGTTTGCCATGCAAGATTATTCCCTCTGGCATCCTTTCTGCTGATGTTTTGGGTCTCTTTTTCAGAATTTCAAATGTGTGAGATTCCACCACTGCTTTTTAAAAGTATCTTCTATAAACTATCTGCTGAAATAGAATGCTCCTTAAATATCTCCTCAGTTGTTTTCCCAATACTTAAGCAAAACTGTGCCATTCAAAAAAGTAATTAATACTTGCATTATAAGGGTGCACATACTATCTTCCTTTATCATTAACCTTTGACTGCAAAGGGGGGGCAAAAAAAAAAACTTTTGACTGCTTTGAAAAACCATTTAAGTTGGACATGATAGGGTACACCTGTAGTCTCAGCCACTTGAGAGGCTAAGTCAGAAGGACTGCCTAAGCTAGGAGTTCAAGGCTGTAATGCGCAATGATTGTGCCTGTGAATAGCCACTGCACTCCAGCCTGGACAATTTAGTAAGACCCTGCCTCAAAATAAAAAAGTATTTTTTTAACCTCAGATACAGTATAATTTTTGTATGTGTAATTATACACACATAACTAGAGATCTGGACTGATGTTTATCAGAAAGTTGAACTCTGCTCAGATTTTATAGTTTTTTTTTTTTCTTCTTTAGTATCCTCTGAAAACTTAAATCTGTTGAAAGTAATCATTTCACATCTTTAAGCAGGGTTAATTAGAGTTGAATCAGAGAATTTTAAGAAACATAACATAACAAAAGAAATCTCTCTCAAATTCACCAGCTTGTTAAGAAACAATGTTCAGGCCGGGCGTGGTGGCTCACGCCTATAATCCTAGCACTCTGGGAGGTTGAGGCGGGCGGATTGCTCAAGGTCAGGAGTTCGAAACCAGCCTGAGCAAGACCAAGACCCCATCTTTACTATAAATAGAAAGAAAGTAATTGGCCAACTAATATATATATAGAAAAAATTAGCCAGGCATGGTGGTACATGCCTGTAGTCCCAGCTACTTGGGAGGCTGAGGCAGCAGGATTGCTTGAGCCCAGGAGTTTGAGGTTGCCGTGAGCTAGGCTGACGCCATGGCACTCACTCTAGCCTGGGCAACAAAGCGAGACTCTGTCTCAAAAAAAAAAAAAAGAAAGAAAGAAACAATGTTCACTGTTCAAAGACTCAAATCTCTCATTATACCAGCTTCGAATTATTTCATTTTTATAGCAGTCAAGGTGCATTGAGCACCTGTGTGCTCAGAAATGGCATGTAGGAAGGAACATTTAAGCCCTTATGGAGGTTATAATGTGTGGCTCCTTCCCCTAAATCCTCTTATTCTCTTCCTCCTTCTTTCATGCCTTGCATCCTCCTTTTCTTCCCCTCCCTCAGTGTGCTGACTGCCATTAGATGCTTAGCCTACAATCCTCTCCACTGACAATACTGAGGAAAGTGTTTTGTAAGTCTCACCTCAAGGCTCAAGGTCTCAAAACTCAGTCCTCAAATATCATCTGGATTCCTCTGCCAAGATTGGTCCCAATAAGAACCAGATTTACTACATTCCCCCACTTTAATGTTCTTGTTCAAGTCTAGGTGGCTCCAAAATCCCACCTCCACACCTGCATTTCTCTCTTAGGACAAGTATGGGTGTCCAGACAGCAATTCGAATGACATGTCTACAACTGAATTCTACATCTTCGCTCCTACTTGCCTATTTTTCTTTGTAAGAAGTACCTTTTTCAGGGTCCCAAACCAGAATCCCATCAATTTTGATTACTACCCATTTTCATTCCCTAGCCACCAGCTCCCTATTCCTTTGACAACTACCTAGTCAATGCCAAAATCATTTTTCCTTCAAAAATACACCCCATATCCCTTCCTTCATATTTTTTCCTACTCTTATTTGTCACACTGCTGTCAGATTAATCTCTCGACGGTCATACTCCTGAGCTTAAAAATCATCAATGACTTCCAAATGCCTGCTAATAAATAAAATACTCTTCAAATTCCCACATGATCTTCTCCTATTCTACTTCTCTAGCATTACTGCCCATACTGTATTATCTAGCAACATTTCCAAAACTGTTCCTCAGAGTTCCAAGGATGCTAAGAGATTTAAAAGGGGGAAAAAGGTTCAGACATTTAGTTAAGTTTGGGAAAGGCTAGATTTTTTTCTACCTAGTACCCTCACCCCTTTAATTTCTCCCAAGACAATCATCCTACAATTAAGATCAAATTCAAGGCCGGGCGCGGTGGCTCACGCCTGTAATCCTAGCACTCTGGGAGGCCGAGGCGGGCAGATTGCTCGAGGTCAGGAGTTCGAAACCAGCCTGAGCAAGAGTAAGACCCCCGTCTCTACTATAAATAGAAAGAAATTAATTAGCTAACTAAACATATATAGAAAAACTTAGCCGGGCATGGTGGCACATGCCTGTAGTCCCAGCTAGTCGGGAGGCTGAGGCAGGAGGATGGCTTGAGCCCAGGAGTCTGAGGTTGCTGTGAACGAGGCTGACGCCACGGCACTCACTCTAGCCTGGGCAACAAAGCGAGACTCTTGTCTCAAAAAAAAAAATCAAATTCAAAGGACACCTCTGAAATATCTTCTAAACTCTCATAGTACTGTGGTTGTGGTGCAACAAGTTAAAACACCTACCCACAGAGCCACCATTATTATTTCAGCTACTCAAATACATTTTGCCTTCAAAACTATTAATACACACTTGCTTATAGAAGGATTCTGTGTTATCTACATCTTCTTGATGGTAGATGTTCACGTTATCTAATCACTAACCTTTCATTTTTAATCTTTGCTTAAGACTAGAAACAACGTAAATCTCTATCAATAGAGGCCCATTCCACACCATGCATTGCATATAACATCACTCGGAACTATGTAAATCTACACTTATGTGGCAAAGCTGCCCTATTATAATAACACAGTAATATTAATTTTTACTATCATTGAAAACAGATCAGCCCATGTGAGAACAATTTAAAAATTATTCCAAAATGACAGAAAATTCACAGAAATGGTTGGCAGCATATGAATAAGGCAGCAGAAATTAGATGGAAGGGTACAGGGTCTGTAAAATACAGAAGATACACCATCTAGGTTGCTCATAAGGAGGAATTAAGAAGGAAGAACACAGTTGAAATGAGAAAAAAAATTGAAAATAAAAGTAGAGGGCCAGGCTTGGTGGCTCACACTTATAGTCCAGGCTACTGAATCAGTCAGTCAATAGAAAAAACTAGGTATCAGTCATTTCATATAATTATAAACATATCTACCCACCTGATTATTTTCTATCTCCCAGTGAATCACTTGATTATCAGATCCTCCAGAAACTAATTCAGTACAAGGAGCTGAAAAAAATTATATCTCAGTTAGTATTTGTTCATTTCATTTTCTCATCTATTTTTAAAAATTTCAAAGCTACAGGGCCAGGCACAATGGCACCTGTCTTTAATCCTAGCACTTAGGGAGGCCAAGGTGGGAGGACTGGTTGAGGACACGAGTTCAAGACCAGCCTGCGCAACAGAGCAAGACCCCATCTCTACAAAAAATAAAAAAATTAGCTGGGCATGGTGGTACATCTCTGTAGAAAGGCTATCTGAATTATCTGGCAGTAGAGCCTTCCCTATTTTTCAAGGAAATCAATCATAATAGTTACAGATTACAATAATACACAAGCGATTCACTTTATGTAACCTCATTTTTAAAGGGAAGATAAAATACACAAGCCCAAATTAATATTTTCTAATAAATCCCTGTACTGACAGTCAAGTAGCCTTTGATGTCATGTGGTAGCAATTAATATAATTACAATTGTGTTTTATTATCCACACTAACAGCCACCCCTTGTACCATTTAATGTTTTTATTGACCTCATATGTGATTAATCCTACATTACCAGCTGAGATAAGTAGCTTATTAAACTTTTTTTAAACATCGCATATAAAATCATAGCAAAATCTCACTAATTCAGGAAATTCTGCATTTGTGCCTGGCTCAGAATGCTCTCAATAAATGTTTATGGAATGAAAAATAAAATTAATTCAGAATCCATAACAATGCTACAGTAGATATATTTAAGATACTTGAGGAAATATCACAGGGTTTGGGGAACACTATGTAAAGGTAACGAATTTTTAACATTAATTAAAAATTCAAGGCCGGGCATGGTGGCTCACACCTGTAATCTTAGCACTCTGGGATGTTGAGGCAGAGGATTGCTTGAGGTCTGGAGTTCGAGACCAGCCTGAGCAGGAGCAAAGACACCCCACCCCCACCCCCATCTCCACTAAAAATAGAAAAAATTGGCCAGGTGTGGTGGTGCGTGCCTACAGTCCCAGCTACTCAGGAGGCTGAGGCAGGAGGATCACTTGAGACCAGAAGTTTGAGGTTGCAGTGATCTATGGTGATGCCACTGGACTGTACCAGGGCAATAGAGCGAGACTGTTTTTAAAAAAAAAAAAAAAAAATTCAAACTCCTAGCCTCAAGGCATTCTACTGCTTCAGTCTCCAGAGTAAGTGGGACTAAAGACTCATGCCACCGGCCAGGCGCAGTGGCTCACACCTGTAATCCTAGCACTCTGGGAGGCCGGGGACAGGTGGGGGGGGGATCGCTCGAGGTCAGGAGTTCAAAACCAGCCTGAGCGAGACCCCGTCTCTACTAAAAATAGAAAGAAATTAACTAACTAAAAATATATATACAAAAAATTAGCCGGGCATCGTGGCGCATGCCTGTAGTCCCAGCTACTAGGGAGGCTGAGGCAGTAAGATTGCTTGAGCCCAGGAGTTTGAGGTTGCTGTGAGCTAGGCTAACACCATGGCACTCACTCTAGCCTGGGCAACAAAGTGAGACTCTGTCTCAAAAAAAAAAAAAAGACATGCCACCATGCCTGGCTAATTTTTTTCTTTTTTTGGTAGAGACAGGTTCTTGTTATCTTGCCCAAGCTGGTTTTTTTTTTTTTTTTTAGACAGAGTCTCGCTTTCTTGCCTAGGTCCAGAGTGAGTGCCTGGCGTCAGCCTAGCTCACAGCAACCTCAAACTCCTGGGCTCAAGCAATCCTCCTGCCTCAGCCTCCCGAGTAGCTGGGACTACAGGCACGAGCCACCATGCCCGGCTGATTTATATTATATATATTAGTTGGCCAATTATTTCTTTCTATTTTATGGTAGAGACGGGATCTTGCTCAGGCTGTTTGAACTCCTGACCTTGAGCAACTCCGCCGCCTCGGCCTCCCAGAGTGCTAGGATTACAGGCGTGAGCCACCGCGCCTGGCCCCCAAGCTGGTTTTGAACTCCCAGCCTAAAGGGATCCTCTCACCTCAGCCTCCCAAAATGCTAAGATTACAAGTGTGTGCCACCATGCACAGCCAGTCCACGTATTTTCTTTTCTCTTCTTTTTTTTTTTTGAGACAGAGTCTTGCTTGTTGCCAGGCTAGAGTGAGTCGCATGGCGTCAGCCTAGCTCACAGAAACCTCAAAACTCCTGGGCTCAAGCAATCCTCCTGCCTCCAGCTCCAAGTAGCTGGGACTACAGGCATGCGCCACCATGCCTGGCTAACTTTTTGTTCTATATGTATTATATATTAGTTGGCCAATTAATTTGTTTCTACTTGTCATATAAAACGGGGGTCTCGCTCTTGCTCAGGCTAGTTTCGAACTCCTGACCTCGAGCAATCCGCCCACTTCAGCCTCCCAGAGTGCTAGGATTACAGGCATGAGCCACCGCGCCCGGCCTCACATATTTTCAAATTTTTTGGTCTCAAAACTCCTATACACTCTTAAAATTTTTGAGGACCTCAAAGAACTTTTGATTATATGGCCTATATGTACCAATATTAATCATATTAGAAATTAAAACTGAAAAATTTGAAAAATATTTAAATGATGAGCCCCATTGTGTTAATAGATAACATTTAATTTGTTGCAATATCACGTATCATGTGGCTGCTGGAAAATGTACACTCGTGACAGAATGTGAATGAGAACTGTGAACAATAGTATGAAAATAATTTGACCTGACAGCTCTAACAAATCTCTAAAAGTTCCCTGACCTAAGCCAATTCTGTACTTTTCAGATGTTACTAAGGTGCAAACTAGGGCCAAAAGAGATGCAATGTCTTGCCTAAAAAAAGTAATGATTTGTCTATGGCACAAACAAACGTAGAAGCTGAGTCTTATAAATCGCAACCTCAGCCTAAGCCCTGCTTACAGGTTTTCCATCAAAAGCTCTGGGCAATTTGGGGGTAGGGGGGGATCTTGCCAAAGTCAAGGGCTCCCTATACTCTCACCCTAAGCACTGCTGTGTTATCTATGCTTCAACTGGTATAAAGTAAAAATACAGGTCAGATATTTTCACTGGACATACCATTTTTCTTCTATTTTCCAACTGTATAACAGATAAGGTAATGCTAAATTAAGAGAAGTGATGAGAAAAAAATAGCTAACAATAGTAAACAAATGAGATCAGCTTTAATAATTAGGTTTATACTTACAGCCATCCTGTTTACAAATCCACTGTATGCAATTGACTCGGGCAGTGTGTCCATTCAGATTGGTAACAACCACTCTTTTCTTTAGAGAAGAAAACACCAGTTAGTAAATTAAAACTTATCCCATAGAGGAATTAACTAGTAAAAATAAGATTTCAGTGTTTTGACATTAATAAAAAGATCAAGATTACATAGAACAGATTTGCCTTCTTTAATTCATAGCAATTAAACTTTCAACTGTGGCTTAAGCCACCAATGCACTCTAAATTGGTCCTGCCTTTCTAGATACTATCCATATTCCCAGCATCCTGTCCTCTCATCACACTGAGCTCTCTAGTCTTCATCTGCCTAGTGCTGCTCACCCTCCCCCCAGTGTTCATGTCCTTCTCACCTGGGCAGCATGTCTTGACACACTAAGCTAGACAAGCAGCCTCTTTCTAGTGCTCCCACAGGTCTCAGGGCCTACTTCTACCATGTTGGGATCAATTTGAGGGTTTCATTGATGAAAATCCTTTGAAAGAATTCATGATTCACAGACACAAATTCATAGCTCACTTTGCATGCCATGGCTGACCAGGTGGTGAGTTCTTCAGCCCCACTGGTACAATGTCACAAGGCCACAACTACTAAGGTCTTCACACATCAGATCCCTGCAAGACCTATCACCAGGTTCCCCCGCAGATTCTCAGCCTGCTGTTTTCACTAACATCACCCCACCCTTGAACTTCCATACTTCACTCACTACTAAACATTTTAACTCTTGAGACCTGTGCCTTCCTCTTTATAGTCTTTTTCTGTATTTGTTGCCAAAAGCACTGGCTTTGTTACTGCCCACTAGAATTCTCATGGTGAGAAAAAGGACCAGAGGCAAATGTGCATAAACTAATATATTTCACACATGGGTTTAAGGTCAGAAACAATTTACTCTATTCCATTGTCTCTCTCATTAAACTGAGAATTCCATGATGTGCAGGAGTTATCACTCATTATCTTTGTGTCACCATCACCCAGCCCTGGACTAGCCCATAGAGAGTCCTCAAAAATTTGCTCAATGAGCATCATTCCCAAAGCTTTATTTTAGCATTTGACATGCTCTTACTGCTGTATTTAATCAAATGTCCAATCAGCAAATATTTAACAAAGTACTTCTTAGGTTCAATACTTTTTCATTAATAGAAGTTTACCTTTGGTTTTATGTGCTTTCTCTTGCCATTCAAGAATACATGACAATTAAAAAGAAACAAAAACTGAGAAGAGACAAGCATGCTCAAGACGGGGGAAGGTGGATAAAAATATTTCATATATAAGCCTGAATCTGGGTGTGTGTGTGTGTGTGTGAGAGAGAGTGAGTGAGGGGGGAAGGGCTCGAAAAAAAAATTAAATCTCAATCTGCAAAGGGTGTGAGGATAATGGAATTTTTAATTAAATTGATAAGGTAGTATAAGAAGAACGTATAGTCATCTCCTGTGGTGCATTTTACTTTTTATACTGAGGCCCTTTTTGAGATGCAACAAAAATTGTATCACCCTAAATTAGTTTGTGTGAATGGGGTCATTCATAATGAACTCTGGGGAACACGCAAAAACTATTCACTTGAGTAGGGAAAGGGCAAGAAAATAATTAACTGGGTTAAGTCCAGGCAAGCCCTGCCTTATAACTAATGCTTAGGATCCTCTTTCCCTATGCCCCTTCCCCTAAATTGGCACTTTATTTAAATGCCCATGCCTGTAGCTAAAATATACGTAACATTTCTCTGAAACTCAACACAACGAAAGTTCATGAACCAACACTGGAGTGAGATACAGAAAGGAGACAGCATCTGTGGGATGATAGCTTTAATCCACACCTAAATTTCAATTCTTTTAAAACCCAAAGTGACATCTTAAAAGTACTACAGTTCACAGGGAAGGCTTCAAGTAAGATTCTCATAAGGGTTTCACCATGGGGATGACGGCAGGACTGACAAGGCAGGACGCAGGCCGTATTGACCCTAGGCTGACGGCGCGCGCCTGACCACGAGGGGGGAGTCCGGGGCGCCCACGGGAGACTCTTGCCCCAACCCAGACCAGCCTCTTAGGTCTGGAGCGGCAACTGCAGCCCGCCCCGAGCACGCCCTGCAGGTTCGGCCCCTGAGGCACAAGGACTCAGGCATCCAGGCACTGCTCTTACCAGAGGGTCATAAAGCACCACAGAGCAGGAAGTACCGAAGGCCAGAAGTCCTCCGGGCCCGGGACTCCAGCTCAGGACTCCCCGCACCCGGTTTGGGCAGCAAAACACGTGAGAAGTCTCCAGCACGGGTACCACCATGTTGCTGGCTGGTCAGCCGCCCAAACCTCGGACGGCCACTTCCGCCCTTGGAGCGGAACTACTAGAGCGGCCGCCACTCCTACTGGTCACATATCCGGTCCGTGTTTCGGAGGCGGCCGAGGGCGGGACTCGGGAGGCCCCGCCCAGGCTGGTGTGGTTCTCCATCAAACGCTCTAACCCCCAGCGCTGGCCAAGCCAGGCCTCTACCGCTAGTGCGAAGCCCGACCAGAGTAGCTCGGGACCCTCCAGAAGGCCCTGGGGCTCGTGTGCAGGGCGGCGTCAAGAACCTCCCGTTGCCCCTTACGGCCAGGCTCCCTGCAGCGGACGGGACTGGCCTGGGCGGCCTTCGCGAGAGTCTCAGGCCTCAGAGAAGCGCAGGGACGCGGAGTAGATCAAAGACAGAACCTCCAACTACTCACGGTCCGCTTGGACCGCGTCACTATCTCCCGCCCCTGCGCGGCCCGCGGCGTCAGTGAACACGCGGAAAGCGGATCCGTCTGGGGAGACGGGGTTCCGGAGTCGCACTGCGCATGCCCCGCAGTCATGGCAGAAGGAGGCGGTGGTTCCCGGCCGCGCGCTGCGCGCGGCAGTGTTTAGTGATTGTCCTCCGGCTCCTGGGAAGCGAGGGGCGCGGCTGCCTGGTGCCTGCGCGACGGTACCCCCCGGACCGAGGGGCAGCCTGGCCCATGAGACCACCTCTTCTCCGCGCCCCATAGAGGTTTCCTGAGGAGACCGGCGCGGGCCCGTTCCGACCCTTCCGGACCGCCCCCGGGGAACTGAACCTGAGCGCGGGGCCGGGCCGTGCGGTGGGACGGCGAGACCGCAGAGAGGTGAGTCGTGCAGGTTCGAGGGGGGTCGGCGGGAAGCGCAGCCCCGCGGGCTGGGCAGGCGGGGCGGGCAGCGGAGACGGGTCCTGCGGACCGGGCAGGGGGACTGCAGAGGGGGAATGCCGAGGGGAGCCCGCCGCAGGCGCCCACTCAACCTGGAGAGCCAGACTTCTCAGCTTGGGGTGCCTAGGAGAGCTTCGGGGTCCCTCGGAGGACTTTCTGAGGAAACGATCTGTACTCTTCGTCCCATATGCAAGGAAGGGACTGGCGTGTTTAAAAAGCCCTTAGAAGCAAAGCTTTGTGCGCTCTTTTCTGTTTAATCCACATGCTCTTTTTTCCAAGGCCTTTGCATTCTGCTTTCTTTTTCCTCCAACACACGCCGACTTTGCAGGGAAAGAGATCTGCGGACGGGTCAGCGACCGCCCTCAGCATCCTCCCTGGAGAAAGGCTCCTAGCTGCCCGCTGTGCTTGTCCCCACCCACCCCGCTCGTCGTCTATCTCCTGGGAATGATTTCTAAAGGGTTCTGTTCTGTCTGTTAAAACTTCAGGCCCTGAAGATTGTTCTTTCAGGAGCTTAGTCCTGCTCTGTGTACTGTACCTCCATTTTCCACTGCTCCCAGTCTGATAAGCCGCACTTGTGCAGCACATGGATCTTAATGAGCATTTCCACATACATTCCTAAATGCGTTTTCCTCATTCACGGCATCACTGGCTTTTTATATGAGGTGAAGAACAGCTGACAGCTGGAGAGCTAAGTTGCCCCATTCATACTCTTGCTCCAAACGCGACCTCTGCGTCTCCTCTTGGAGACCTGGGTTTGGCCACCATCGCCATCCACCATCAGTGCTGGACATCTGCTGTGTCCTGAGCTAACCGTCTATCTGCACATCCGACCATAACCTTCCTCTGCTTAACTGAATTATACTTTTCAAGCCCCAACTCGATTCCTAACTCCCCTTTGGGGTATAGGCCTTTGGTTCCAAACTCTATTGTGTGGATGAGTAACAGTTTGCGGTAAAATTTTCACTGGTTTGTAGCAATATAAGAATGAATGATATAGTGAATTTTTCATGAACTTCAAGTCACTTAAATAACTATTATTATGCAGTCATTGAAAAGAATAAGGTATATCTATGTGTACATGACAACTTGTCTGATTCATTGTCAAGTGGGAGAAAAGATCCACTTTGTGTGTTTAAAGTATACATCTACTTGAGTATGCATAGAAAATATCCTGAGGGATATGTAAGAAACTACTAAAATTGGACACCTTTGAGGAATGAGATGGGGGACAGGGGCCTTAAGTGGACTTGTTTATAAGGAAAATATTAGTTTAAAAAATTTTTAATGTGAATTTTGAGATTATCATTTCTACTTTTTTGGCATTCGAAGATTCTTTTATGAAATGATGGTGATGGTGGAGGTAGTTAGGTTTTGTTTTGTTGAATCATTCTCAACACAATAAGAAGTTGCCAATATGGCTGTAGCCACATGGATCTCTCCTGTCTCTGAATTACTATTGCTTTAAACCCTGCTAATTACAATCTCTTAGCACTCAGCTCTTCTGCAGTTGTTTCATGTGTTTGGGCAATGCAAGGACAGACCCCAAGACTCTAGTTCTCTATACATTACCTAACCCCACACTGGCCACACCAGGTGACACTCTGAAAACCTTTATTAATTGATTAGACATCAATCTTCAGCATCAGATTTCTTAATTCAAATTGTTTTAAAAGTGACCTAAGAATTTTTTTTTCTCTTTTCCAGGAAGGTGCAATGGCAAGAAATTTATCAGTAATTTTAATCCTGACCTTCGCCCTTTCAGTTGCAAATTCCCTTCATGAACTAGAAGCAGCAGCTGCTTTTCCTCAGACCACAGAGAAAATTAATCCAAATTGGGAATCTGGCATTAATGTTGACTTGGCAGTTACCACACAGCGACATCATCTACAACAGCTTTTCTACCGCTATGGAGAAAATAATTCCTTGTCAGTTGAAGGGTTCAGAAAATTGCTTCAAAATATAGGCATAGATAAGATTAAAAGAATCCATATTCACCATGACCGAGAGCATCACTCTGACCATGAGCATCACTCTGACCATGAGCATCACTCTGATCACGAGCATCACTCTGACCACGAGCATCACTCTGACCACGATCGTCACTCTCACCGTAATCATGCTGCATCTGGTAAAAATAATCGGAAAACTCTTTGCCCAGACCATGACTCTGATAATTCAAGTAAAGACTCTAGAAACAACCAGGGGAAAGGATCTCACCGACCAGAACACACCAGTGGTAGAAGGAATGTCAAAGAGAATGTTAGTGCTAGTGAAGTAACCTCAACTGTGTATAACACTATCTCTGAAGGAACTCACTTTCTAGAAACAATTGAGACTCCAAAACCTGGAAAACTCCTCCCCAGAGATATAAGCAATTCCACTCCACCCAGTATCACAGAAAAGAGCCGGGTAAGCCGGCTAGCTGGTAGGAAAACAAATGAATCTATGAGTGAGCCCCGAAAAGGCTTTATGTATTCCAGAAACACCAATGAAAATATTCAGGAGGTAAGATAAGTGCTGTTCGTTATTTTAATATACCTATGTGTCTGTGCTGTCGTTGCCATTCTATCTCTAGTTGTAAACGAGTTTAACATAAAATGATGAAGTTACTGAAAAGGGAATTTCTACCTTCTCAGTAAGCCTGTGGCTCAAGTGTGCCGCTAATGTGTACTTAGTATTTCTGATAGGAACTTGGGGGGATATTCTTAGTCAGCGCAGCTTGCATGCTATTAATTTTATATAAAATGTAAAGTGGCCGGTGCGGGGGCTCGATCCTGTAAATCCTAGCACTGGGAGGTTGAGTGAGGAGGATGCTGATGGTCAGGAGTCGAACCAGCCTGAGCAAGAGCGAGACCGTCTCTACTATATAATAGAAAGAAATTAAGTTGCCAGAATTATATTATAAGAAAAAATTAGCCGGCATGGTGCACATTGCTTAGTCCCGTCTACTCGGGAGGCTGAGCAGGAGGATGCTTGAGCCAGGAGTTGAGGTGCTGTGAATAGCTGAAGTCTCGGCACTCTGCTGGGCAACAAAGTGATACTGTTCAAAATTAATATAACTAAACTAAAATAAAATGTTATTGTAAATGATTTTAAGTTTATATTTTTTAACAAAAAAAAGCAAGCTGTAATAGTGATTTATTAATAAAATGAAACGATGAGGGGTGAAAAGCAATTGGAATTCATGTTTTAGCGGAAGGTGTGGCCAAAGGACTAAGATGCGAAAAAGGAGCAGTGCTGCTTCTGGGGATGGTGAAAAACTAGGCAGGAGGTTTAGAATTCACGTGGGTTTGAGAATAGACTCAGTTGCACATATTCACTGCCTGAGGAGAATCAAAACAAGGAATTAGTTGGTATACTTTAATAAGTAAAACTTAAGTACTTCATTCAAACCAGTATATGACTGTACATGGATTAGGAATACTACGTGAGGTTCCATGAGCAATTAGCAACACTGGTGATGAAGTTTGCTGTGAGTAGTAGGGTTTTTTTTTGGTTTGGTTTTTGTTTTTGAGACAGAGTCTCATTCTGTTCCAGGTAGGAGGCCTGGGTAGCAGCCATGTCACGCAACCTCCAATCCGGGCTCAGCGATCCTTTGCCTCAGCCTCCAAGTAGCTCGACTACGCAATGCGCCAGCCATGCCCAGCGTAATTTGTTTCTATATGTTTATTGGCAATAATTTCGTTCTATTTTAGTAGAGATGGTGTTCTCACTCTTGCATCAGGCTGTTCAATACAACTACTGAAGCCATCCACCCACTCGGCTCCAGGACTCTGAGTAGTTTTGGCTGAGAATTGTGGGAGTTTAAAATGTCTTTACAGAAGATAAGAAACAGATACTAAAATATTTTCGAATTATTTTGGGTTGGGAGGTTAGATGCATAGAGCGTTCTTCAAACTAAGCTTGCTCTCCAGTTAAATGTGAAACATCTGCCTGCTGGTACAGGTTTGTTTTATTAACCAGCCTTGCTCTCCACAAGAGTAATCTGTTTTCTCACTGTGGAATATTGCCGATTTAAACAGAACTGAGCTAAGTTTTTGCAGGTAGGGTCATTACTTGGGAAAGCGACATGCTTGCTTGTTTAGGCAAGTAGCGATAGGTTGGACTAAAGCAACATATTTCTCAATCTCTAATGAACCCCATTTTGAAATTAAAGCTCATTTCCTTAATAGGTTTATACAATGAGTTAACAGGCTTGTGAATCCATTTATCCTCAAGCTTGAGGCTTTCTCCCTACATGACTGGTGATGTAACTACTTCTCCCAAGAAGTAGGCAGAAGAGGTGAGATACCACCCTTGTGAGACATCATATTAATATCTCCAGGTAGCTAGAGGCAAATTCCAAAGTACTCAAAACAAAAGTTAATTGTAATCTGCATTAACTTGAAAAAATAAAAAAGTAGCTTTATTCAGGAAAGGGGGTTGTGTCATCAAGCTACTATTTTGGATTCTGTAATGGGAATACCTTTTGGTGATTCTCACTGCTTTCTTTCCTTAAGTGTTTCAATGCATCAAAGTTACTTACGTCTCACGGCATGGGCATCCAGGTGCCACTGAATGCAACAGAGTTCGGCTATCTCTGTCCCGCCATCATCAATCAAATTGATGCCAGATCTTGTCTGATTCATACAACAAGTGAAAAGAAGGCTGAAATCCCTCCAAAGACCTATTCTTTACAAATAGGTAGAGTTGCCTTTTTTATGTGAAAATAATTTCCAGTAGATACATTTATTGTGTTCTTTTCCGTATATTCTCATCAACCTATTTATTTTCCAGCATGATTCCAAATATATCATCTTAGTTATTCTCTGCCATGAATGTGAAGAAAAGCAAGCAAGGATGTTAGTATATAAAAACCTAGGAAACAAAACTTAAATTATGATTTGTCTGAGGTCATCCTACAGGAGGTGTTAAAATCATCTGAAATTTGGGTTTTTTATATCATGTCACACTGTTTGAGAAGGGGGTCAGAGTCTGTCTCTGCATAGGAGTCTACTTTTGGTATGTTTTTATTGATAAGTGAAGCTAGGCTAAGCTGTGCTATAGTGTAGGGTCACATTGCTCATATAAAGAGAAAGAAATAATTGGTTTGTTTACCGAGGAAATTACTGAATTCCTGGTTTCCTTCTTTTTCTCCTTTCATTTCTCTTTTTTTTTGTTCTAACTTTTCTCTTTTATAATTTAGCTGTTACGGGAATTTGAAAGCTCAGTTCTGAAGTGAACTAGAGTTTATTCTTGGTAACCCTTTTTTTCTCTTTTTTTTCCTCTTTTACCCCCATCTGAAGAATTTCCCACAAGGGCTTACCTGGACAGTTCCTAAGCACTGTCAGGTTGTTAATTTGACTGACAACAAGTTTCTTGGTTATTATGATAGTGCCACAGTCCTATTTGCACTGAATTTGTTTATTTAGTTTCTCTGCCTTTACATGTTGCTTTGTGCTACTTTACAAAAGTCTCTCTTTGAAGTTTATTTAACTATATGATTTTCCTTTGTTTTGTTTGACAGCCTGGGTTGGTGGCTTTATAGCCATTTCCATCATTAGTTTCCTGTCTTTGCTGGGAGTTATCTTAGTGCCTCTCATGAACCGAGTGTTTTTCAAATTTCTCCTAAGTTTCCTTGTGGCATTAGCTGTTGGGACTTTGAGCGGTGATGCTTTTTTACACCTTCTTCCACACGTAAGTACAGTAATTTACCCTATTGGTGTTTTATTAGGCAACATTGAAAAAATATTTTTTATTTGTATTAGAATACTTTATGTTGATTTCTATGAAAAGTTAGAAATTTGGTTTAGAGAAGTTGATTTTAAAATACATTTCGTAATTCGCAGTGAGCTATGTACCACTGCACTGCAGCCTGGATGACACAGTGAGACCGCATCTCAAAAAAAGTGTTTTTTTAAATGAATGCCATATTCCCCACTATATGTCATCAGGGGGAAAATATATATATATTTGATAACTGAAAGATGCATTTTTGGGATAGATCTTTATACATGTTCATGTATTTTGCTTTGCTTTTTAAGGGAGTTCACTAAATATGGAGTAATTTAACTTTTTGGAACCCTTAATAAAAGGAGACAAATTCTGCTCAGATATTAGTACTATGACAAACTGCAAGTGTGAATTATTTGCTTACCTATTAGTATAATTGCCACAGAAATAAAATATGTGACCCTTTATGTATCTAAGAAACTTAAAGAAGTTTTCTTCAGAGTTGAATTTACGTATATATTTAGAGATTTACACTTCATGACACACAAAACACGTTTGTAAAGTGAATTTTCTGTTAAGTACTGGGATGGGTGCTCAGGCAGAAAACATTTGGCTCTCATTTTTTAAATTTCTTTTAAAGGTTTTCAGGTAAGTGAGAAAAGGAAATCACTCCATTCCTATAGCACTACAAATCTCATGTTCATTCAGTAGCGAAGGAATACTATTTTGCTGTAACAAGCTCCCTGACCACCAGACGGCTGATAATCAGCAATACCTGCAGCATAAAGTGGCATGTTCACTTGCTGTATTTTGTGGACAACCCACCCTGAGTCTCACCTGTGTTAGTGTGCTCCACACCAATTCCCTAACATGCAGTAGCAGTAGTTACTTATGCACTTAGTGGTTCAGTACGTCACAGCCCCTGCAAGCTGCAAGAAGGGGCTGTGCACCTGGCTCTCAGGTACCTGCCAGGGCCCATCACTATAGACTGGCCTTTTACAAGACTGGTCAGATGACATTGGTATGGGCTTTTTCAGTTGGGAATGTTAATATATGCAGTAGATAGTATATGCCCATTAAGTCTAACAGTTCCATTTTATTCGTGACCATGGTAATGTGTCAAACATTGAAAATACTACCTATATATTATGAGGGCCACTGGGGAATGTATCTGTCTTTACACTGAACAGACCCACTCTATTAAATGCCATAGTACATTATATACATTAAGTTCTGGATAGCTAGCTGCTGATTGGTCATTTTGTTTTTAACGTCCTGAACTTTCCCTCAACTCTGAAGTACCTGAATAACTGACTAATTCTGAATGATTTCCACATTTGACCTTACTATCTTGGCCAACTTTTCTGACATGTGTGAAACTAATGAATTTATAAATTACAAATCGTTTTGCCTTTAGTCTCATGCAAGTCACCACCATAGTCACAGCCATGAAGAACCATCAATGGAAATGAAAAGAGGACCACTTTTCAGTCACCTGTCTTCTCAAAACATAGAAGAAAGTACCTATTTTGATTCCACGTGGAAGGGTCTGACCGCTCTAGGAGGCTTATATTTCATGTTTCTTGTTGAACATGTACTCACATTGATCAAACAATTTAAAGATAAGAAGAAAAAGGTAAGAAAAAGTATATTAAGTACTTAGTGTGTACCAGATATTTATTTATACTAGTCCCCTAACTAGTTTGTTAAAATAACACATCCATATTGCATGATCTTTATTTGGGAGGGGGTTCAGTGCCCTTGAAGTACTTTTTGGTCCCAGAGGGATTCATGCACAGCATTTTTGTATTTTAATGACCCTGAAAATTTCTATCTTCAGTATTCCCTTAAAACTCATGAAAGGGTAAGAAAGGCAAGTATTAACATCTATATGAATGACCAAACAAGATACAAGCAGGGCCTTGAAGACCAGAAGTATCATGCATACACTGTCAATTTTTATTGGTGGTTATGATTATTGTGATTAATTTTAAATTATTCATCCAGTAGCTGAATATTCTATTTTGTTTCAAAGGGTATGTGACTTTCACAAGCTTGCTCTTTGCAAATTGGATGAGAAAATAGTACAAAGTCAAACAGTAGGCTCTTTATTTCTGGTAAAAAAAAAGTACCTCTGAGTCTACTACTTATCTGATGTGATCAGGCCAGTCAGTCAAAAGACTGTCAGGAGACTTTTTAAAATGGTATATGCATGTCTTACATTTTAATTTAACCTTAAAACATCTGTACACTCATATTCTGCCCATTTGATTTTCTTTGAGTTGTGGTTCTGTATTCTGTATCTTCTGCTATTCTTTTCTTTTATTTTTTTTTTTTTTTTTTTTTTTTTTTTTTTTTTTTTTTTTTTTTTTGAGACAGAGTCTCGCTTTCTTGCCCAGGCTAGAGTGAGTGCCGTGGCGTCAGCCTAGCTCACAGCAACCTCAAACTCCTGGGCTCAAGCGATCCTGCTGCCTCAGCCTCCCGAGTAGCTGGGACTACAGGCACGAGCCACCATGCCCGGCTGATTTTTATATTATATATATAGTTGGCCAATTATTTCTTTCTATTTTTTGGTAGAGACGGGGTCTCGCTCAGGCTGGTTTTGAACTCCTGACCTTGAGCAATCCGCCCGGCTCGGCCCCCAGGAGTGCTAGGATTACAGGCGTGAGGCCACCGCGCCCGGCCTTCTTTTTTTTTAACAGCCATGCTCCTTCATCTACAATTTCTAATTTTGGTTTCTCTAAAATTGAACAAGAGGTTACACACTTGTGAAGCAATTCTGAGAGTAGAATCTAGATTTTAGAAACTTAAAAAACTTAATACAGTGGTAACCTTAACATAATCTTATAGCTTTTTTAGCATCTTGCCTTTGAAGCTTTAAAACATGTACCTTTTGTGTTCATAGAATAACTATTCTCACCATCATTTCATAGTTTGAGCAGTATGTAATTAAATTGTGCAGTGACAATAACAAGTATAACTGGTGTGAGGTTTGAGGTTTGAAAACTAACACTATTGGTTCTTGCTGAGCATAGAGCTCACTGGGAGACCGAGGTGGGCAGATAGCTCGAGGTCAGGAGTTCGAAACCAGCCTGAGCAAGAGCAAGACCCCGTCTCTACTAAATAGAAGAAATTAATTGGCCAACTAATTATATAGAAAAAATCCGCGGCATGTGTGGCACATGCCTGTAGTCCGCTAGTCGGGAGGCTGAGGCAGGAGGATTGCTTGAGCCAGGAGTTTGAGGTTGCTGTGAGCTAGGCTGATGGGCAGACTCAGCCTGGACAACAGAGTGAGACTCTGTCTCAAAAAAAAAAAAAAAAAGTAGTCAAATAAGAATAGCTTACTTATAGAAGTCAACTTCTGTGTTCCCATTGTCCAATTAGTGCTTCACTTATACTGGTTTGAAAATATATCCTACTTCTTCTTTGTCTTTTTTTGTTTGTTTTTCTTTTCCTTTTTTTAGAGACAGGGCAGGGTCTCACTCTTGCCCAGGCTGGTCTCAAACTCCTGAGTTCAAGGGATCACCCCACTGGAGCCTCCCAGAGTGCTATGATTACAGGCATGAGCCACCATGCCCATCCCCATCCTACTTCTTTAAGTCTTCTGGAATTCTTAACCTTTCTAAAAAATGGTTATGGGAGGTGGTGGGGCCTTGGGGCTGGGTTGTGGTTTTCTTTACTGTGTTTCTAGTTCAAATGTCATAATTCATTTAATATTCTTATTTCACATTAGTTTTCAAATTGTACCTAATATAGCTTTTCTTTAACCTGGCACTATTTAACCTGGGACCCTAAGAGAGAGGCTCTCTATTATCTAATATACAACAGTTTTTTTCAAACTCCAGGTTATTAGTGAGTTGTGAAATCAATTTATGTTATGACCAATATTTTTAAATGCAACAATAATTTTATAGGATATTACATATTATATATAAATTATATTACTATGGTATATAGTTGAGAAATTTAATGATCTCTACTGTAAAATATTACCTACTAGAACATATTTTGTTTTGTTTTGTTTTTGTTTTTTGAGACAGAGCCTTGCTCTGTTGCCCTGGCTAGAGTGCCATGGCATCAGCCTAGCTCACAGCAACCTCAGATTCCTGGGCTTAAGCAATTCTTCTGCCTCAGCCTCTTGAGGAGCTGGGACTACAGGCATGTGCCACCATGCCCACTGATTTTTTCTCTGTATTTTTAGTTGTCCAGCTAATTTTTTTCTATTTTTAGTAGAGACAGCGTCTTGCTCTTTGCTCAGGCTGTTGTTGTATTTCTCCGTAAACATCAATGTGATCGTCCCCCCCCCCCCCCCCGGCCTTCCAGAGTGCAAGGATTACAGGCATGAGCCACCATGCCCAACCTAGAACATAAGCCCTTAACAGCTAGGACCTCTCTGTCTTGTTTACTGCTTTATCTTTTTTTTTTTTTAATGCTTTATTCTTAATACCTAGAGATATTCTACTTTCAGTTCCGGGACAGTGCTAGCGCTTTCCTGCTTCAGGGCCCTCCCACAAGCTCTTCTTCTTGCCTGGAATTCTGCCTCTCCCCTTCTTTCCCCCCAAACTCCTACTCGTAGGTCTTGGTATAAATGTCACATTTTTTTCAAGGGAGCCTATCCTGAAACTCATTTAGGTCTCATTATTATACAGTCTGATAGTACGTTCAGTTTTCCTTTTGTAAAATGCATTGAAAATTGCAATCAAAGAATTGCTATTGTATCTGGTACATAATAGATGATTGATAAATATTGAATGTATAAGGAACGTGAAACAGCAAGTAAGCATAATTTCTAGACAAAGACTTCCCACAGGAATTTTGCAAATACTACATGTTCTCTTCCCTTTTTAGAATATGTCAAGTTTATCTTTTGCCAGGGGCATCCAAATCTTAGTGTTACTTGCTTAATTGTTTTTAATCTCATTTGATTCTCTCAAAAAGAAAAGAACTATTCATTATATGGTGAGTACTGGGAGCTCTTCAGGCCCATAACAGGGCATTTTACTTAGGCTTTTCCTTAAGAGATCTATCCTTCACCCCCGGGAGAGTCCGTATATCATAGTTTGAGATCACCTGCCCTATATGTCACTGTGCAAGCTCTATAGTTATATCTCTCACACTTTATTTATTTATTTATTTATTTATTTATTTATTGTGAAACCCTTATAATAGTTTGACTTTAAGCTTTCTTTCTACCAATGAAGACTATTGCTCATACTGGAAGCTGTGTAGAATCATCTGTGACATCCTCCTCATCCTTGTATCCAACCAAGTCTTATTAAATATGTCCACCGTTTTTCCATTCCTCTCTGTTTTCAAGCCATGGTTATCTCCCGCCTGGATGACAGCAGTCACCTCCTAACTGGCCTGTCCATGTTATTTTTTTTTTAAATATGGAACGCTTCACGAATTTGCGTGTCATCCTTGCGCAGGAGCCATGCTAATCTTCTCTGTATCATTCTAATTTTAGTATATGTGCTGCTGAAGCGAGCACTGTCCATGTTATTTTGTTTCCCTCTTTTCTCAGTCTAGCTTCCACAGAGCAGGCAGTGATTTGTTTAAATGAAAAACATCTTGAGGTCGTATGTCTCTACTTAAAATCCTTCTTCCTTCAGTGACTTGCATTGCTTTTAGGACAGAGACTGCTATTCTTAACATGATTTGCATTGTCTCATCTCCTCCACCTACCCCAGCCTCATCTCTAGGTGCTCTCTCTCAGACCTACTAAGCCCCAACCACCTTGTACTTCTTTCAGTTCCGGGACAATGCTGGCCCCTTCCTGCTTCAGGGCCTTCCCACAAGCTCTTCTTCCCGCCTGGAATGCCGCCTCTTCCCTCCTTCCCCATCAAATTGCTACTTATCTGTAGGTCTTGGTATAAATGTTACTTTTGTTTCAAGGGTGCCTATCCTGAAACATATTTAGTTCTTATTATTATATACTCAAATATTTTCTTTTGTAGAATGTATTGAAAATTGCAATCAAAGAATTGTTTAATCATGATCCGTTTAAGCCCTCTTGTGGATGATAAGCTCTAGAAGACTGTATGTATCTGCCAGCACTTAGCATGGGGAATATTATAGGTGCTTACTACTTATGGAAAGAATTGCTCAAACTATAAGTTCTAGAATCATACCCAAGGAGAAACAAAGCACCAGCAGAAATGATTTAGGATACACTGAATTCATTTATTTTCATATATATTTAAATACTATCTCTGATTGATTTGTTTACCTTTAAAAACTAAGAATGTATATGTATCTTACATACCGTTAGAACTAAAATGAAATCTCGTGTATAATGGTGATTAAGTTATATATTCAGAGATACTTTTCATCATCTTAAATATTTCCTACATGAGTAGGTAATACACAGGCACCATTGTTCAAACAGTAATCTTTATACAACATAAATGTTGCTTGGACTCAGGGACAATCTTTCAAGCACAGTATTTGGGATGGTTAACCCAGTAATAAATTTAAGGCTAATATAGACTTATTTGAAATAAAAAGCATGTTAATGGTGTTTTATTAAGGAAAAATATTTTAGTTTTAATAACTGAAAAACTAAGTATGGGCTGGGCACCTGTAATCCTAGCACTCTGGGAGGCTAAGGCAGGCGGATCATTTGAGCTCAGGAGTTCGAGACCAGCCTGAGCAAGATCGAGACCCTGTCTCTACTAAAAAAAAAAAAAATAGAACTTAGCTAGACAACTAAATGTGTGTGTATGTGTGTGTGTGTATAAAATTAGCCGGGCATGGTGGTACATGCCTGTAGTCCCAGCTACTTGGGAGGCTGAGGCAGGAGGATTGCTTGAGCCCAGGAGTTTGAGGTTGCTGTGAGCTAGGCTAATGCCACGGCACTCTAGCCTGGACAACAGAGTGAGACTCTGTAAAAAACAAAAAACAAACAAACAAACAAAAAACTAAGTATAGTTTTAGGGTTATAAAAAGTATGAGAAGTATGGAGTGTCAGTGTCCGGAAGAGGCATGGAGAAAACCAAGCAGTTGTTTAGCAGATCACTAAATGCCTGAAGGAAATGCCCCTAGCTGGTTCTAAATTGGTAACCTAAGGTAGAGCTTCTTAATTTTAAAGTGCATAGGAATCCGGCATCTAGTTAAAATTCACATTCTGATTCATTAGGGCTGAGTGTGGCCTGAGAATGTGCATTTCCAACAGGCTCCCAGGGGATGCTTTGTTGCTTGTGTAAGACCGCATTTAGGGTTGGCAATCTAGGGAGCATTCAGAAAGACTAATGGGTGATTTTTCTACATCTCATATTATGGTGGCATTAATTCTTTACCTTTCTGACAGTTACTACACATAAGATACACTACTTAGGTGCTCTGCAAACAAGTATAGGCTCTGCCCTTACATGGCTTTTATTCCAGTAGAGGGCTGTTACTCTATTTTCTTTTTCTATATCATTTGCTTACCTGTTTATTTAAAGCTGTACATATAACAAATTAACTATTTTAAAAAATTGCTTTCCCTTGCTATTGTAGAATCAAAAAAAACCTGAAAATGATGATGATGTGGAGATTAAGAAGCAGTTGTCCAAGTATGAATCTCAACTTTCAACAAATGAGGAGAAAATAGACACAGATGATCGTAAGTCCTTATGAGTAAATCTGAGGGCTGGAGGGAGTTCATTGCTCTGTGATTTGTAGGCAGCTTGGACTATTTTAAAGAGATGGGACCATGTCTTTTTGTTATTTTGGTGTTTTTTTTAACTACTTCACTTTGTAAAAATTGCCAGTGAGTAGGTTGTTTTTATATACATGTATTATAATATTTACATATCTTTTTTCTGTAATTTTTTATTTTATGGGTGTTTTGTTTTGTTTGTTTGTTTGTTTTGAGATAGTCTTGCTCTGTCATCTGGGCTAGAGTGCTGTGGTGTCAGCCTAGCTCACAGCAAACTCCTGGGCTCAAGCCATTCTCCTGCCTCAGCCTCTCAAGTAGCTGGGATTATAGGTGCACACCACCACACCCAGCTAATTTTGCCACATTTAGTAGAAACAGGAGTCTTACTCTTGCTCAGGCTGGTCTCGAACTCCTGAGCTCAAAGCAGTCCTCCCACCTCAGCTTCCCAGAGTGCTAAGATTACTGGCGTGAGTCACTGTGCCCAGCCTAATTTTTTATTTTGAGGTAAATTCATACTTAATAGAAAAGTTTCAAGAGCAGTGCAAAGAATTCCTGTATTCCTATATCCCCTTCACTCAGATTCCCCAATTATTTTACTACACATTTGACATTCTCTGTTTCACTGTCTACACACTCACACACTTTTTCTAAACCATTTGAGAGTAAGTTAGAGACATGCCTCCTTACCCCTAAATACTTCAGTGTGTGTTTCCTAAGAAAGAGGACATTCTCTCATAGAACCACAGTTTAATTACCAATATCAGAAAAGTTACACTGATACAATGCCATTCGCTAGTCTATAGACCTTACTCTTTTTTTCAAAATATCTTTATAGTTCCTTTTAACCACCAGCACCCCTGTCAAAAAAAACTGTTCCAGAGTACAATCTAGGATCAAATGTTGTATTTAATTGCCTCATACTTTGGGTTTGTTTAATGTTTCTTCATGATTTAGATCAGGTTTGGCAGGAATACCAGAAGGTGATACTGTGTCCTTTCTTGTGACCTGATAGGATGCACTGTCACGTAATTGGTGGTGTTAATTTTGACTACTTGGCTAAGGTGGTATCTACCACATTTCTCCAATTTTTCCTGTAACTTAACAGGTTAGCTTGGCATTTCTTGTTGGACAGACTCAATTAAGATTCAGATTTTCAACCAAACTCCTTGCATTGACCTTTGAAGTCCTACCAAGCCCTCCACTCTTTCCCATCATTCACTTGGCCCCAGCCCCACTGGCCCTCTTTTCACCCTGTGAATACATAAGATTTGTCTCTAGGCCTCACAGCGCCTGTTCCTTCTGCTTTGGACTTCTCTCTCCTAGTTCTATACATCAGTTCTTCCTCCTGCCATTCAGATCTCAGCTCAGATATATATATCCTCCTTCCCTGATCACCCAAATGCAACAGATAGGTCTCCTAGTCACTTTCCTACATATATCCTTCTCTAATTTCTACTTACTAGTGCTCAAACTACCTTATTTATATGTGTGTTTCCTTGCTAAGTAGCCGTCTCCCCCTAAGAACATAAGCTCCTCAAAGGCAGGTTCTTTCTTGTGTTCCTCTTTATCCCCAGTGCCTGCCAGAGTGCCTGGCACAGCGTAGGTGCTCAACAGAGAGTTGTCAGCCAGGCGTGGTGGCTCACGCTTATAATCCTAGCTCTCTGGGAGGCCGAGGCGGGCGGATTGCTCGAGGTTAGAAGTTCAAATCCAGCCTGAGCAAGAGCGAGACCCCGTCTCTACTATAAATAGAAACAAATTAATTGGCCTACTAATACATATAGAAAAAATTAGCCGGGTATGGTGGCACATGCCTGTAGTCCCAGCTACTCGGGAGGCTGAGGCAGTAGGATTGCTTGAGCCCAGGAGTTCGAGGTTGCTGTGAGCTAGGCTGATGCCCCGGCACTCACTCTGGCCTGGGCAACAAAGTGAGACTCTGTCTCAAAAAAAAAAAAGAGAGAGAGAGAGAGAGTTGCTGACTGATGGTAAAGAAAAACTATTGTTGCTGCTGCCTCCTTGTAAGGTTTCCTATCCACCCTGTATTCCTCAACATGCTGTTTTTCTCTAAAGAACAAGTAAAATGCTTTCACTTCCTGCATCTATTTCCTCTTCAACTTTTTTAATGGACTCCAATGAAATGTGTAACGATGGAAGGAAATAGCTACTCCAAAATTGGACCACAGTGTCAAGGATGCTCCCAAGAAAATTGATAGCAGTGTACAGGACAAAAAAAAACCCTTATTGTTGCAATTTACTTTTCTGTGCACAAATAGATAATAAATGCTTCTTGGTGATGATGAAACAGTTCAGATTTTTGGGGTTTTTTTCTTGAATTTTGCCTTCCAAAAAACAGGAAGTCAGGGGAGAGTACTACAAATGTTTTTTTATTTCTGATTTTCAGTATTTTTATAAATAAATAGTTTGAAATATCTAACATAACATTTTTATAAAACAAGCATGTGCTGCTTTTATGATGAGAGAAAAGTCTTCTTTAAAACTATAAGGAGGCAAAAGAAATTAAGGTTGAATCTAGGTGGTAGTTAGTGAAGATTAATGTTTAAAATCCATTCTTAGGCACAGCCTAACTCACACCTGTAATCCCAGAGACTCAGGAGGCTGAGGTGAGAGGATTGCTTGAGGCCAGGAGTTTAAGACCAGCCTGGGTAATATAGCAAGACCTGTCTATAAAAACATTTTTTTTAATTAGCCAGGAGTGGTGGCACATGCTTGCAGTCCCAGCTACTTAGGAGGCTGAGGCAGGAGGATTGCTTAAGCCCAGGAATTCCAGTGAGCTATGATTGTGCCACTGTACTCCAGTCTAAGCAACAGAGAAAGACCCCATCTCTAAATAAATAAATAATAAAATTCATTCTTAATATTTGAGAGCTTGTTTGGAGGTTCTAGCAGGGGAGCACAGCTACTCGTATACCCTTGACCGAACCTGAAGACCGGTCGTCCTCTAGCGGGGAAGGTCGTCCTCTTCTACTGAGCTCGCAGCTTCGGGAGGGACACACATGGAGCGGTGAGGGAGGAAGGGGACACCCGTCTAGCCAGCCAGATCAGACGAATCAACCCTGGCAATCAGTGGTGTGACAGATGTTGCAGCCAGATCGCCCTCACATCCTATTCTTAATATTTGAAAACATTCATTTTCTAAAGTTCATTGAAGCCTGTTGATAGTTTTCATCAATAAATACCCTAATGTTTAGTTCTGTGGGTGTGAAAGAGCTACCATGCTTTAACATCTTTTGTTGACTTTGTCAGTGGGAATGTTTGAAATGTGTCCAAGTACATTAACAAAGCCTTCTTTGTCCCAATGTTTTTTATGTTTATTCCTAGGACCTGAAGGGTATTTACGAGCAGACTTACAAGAGCCCTCCCACTTTGATTCTCAACAGCCAGCTATCTTGGAAGAAGAAGAAGTCATGATAGCTCATGCTCATCCACAAGAAGTCTACAATGAATATGTACCCAGAGGGTGCAAGAATAAATGCCATTCACATTTCCATGATACACTCGGCCAGTCAGATGATCTCATCCACCATCATCATGACTACCATCATATTCTTCATCACCACCACCACCAAAACCACCACCCTCACAGTCACAGTCAGCGCTACTCTCGGGAGGAGCTGAAAGATGCTGGCATTGCCACCTTGGCCTGGATGGTGATAATGGGTGATGGCTTGCATAATTTCAGCGATGGCCTAGCAATTGGTATACATCTATATATATTTGTTCCTTGTTGGTTGACCCTGAAAATGTCACATTAAACTCGCAGTGAGATTTTAAAAGAATAGGTTAGTTTAGATAAGTGATGTCCAAGATTATCAAATTATTTCTTTTTCTCTTTCTTTTTTTTTTGAGACAGAGTCTCACTTTGTTGCCCAGGCTAGAGTGAGTGCCATGACGTCAGCCTAGCTCACAGCAACCTCAAACTCCTGGGCCCAGGTGATCCTCCTGCCTCAGCCTCCCAAGTAGCTGGGAATACAGGCATGCACCACCATGCCTGACTAATTTTTTCCCTATATTTTTAGTAGGCCAATTAATTTGTTTCTATTTTTAGTAGAGATGGGGTCTCACTCTTGCTCAGGCTGGTTTTGAACTCCTGAACTTGAGCAATCCACTCGCCTTGGCCTCCCAGAGTGCTAGGATTACAGGCGTGAGCCACCACGCCCGGCCTTTTTTTTTTTTGAGACAGAGTCTTGCTCTGTCACTTGGGCTAGAGTGCAGTGGCATCATCATAACTCACTGCAACCTCAGACTCCTGGGCTCAAGCAGTCCTGTGTCAGTCTCCCAAGTAGCTGGGACTATAGGCACATGCCACTACACCCAGCTAATTTTTTCTATTTTTGGTAGAGACAGGGTCTCACTCTTGCTCCGGCTGGTCTCAAACTCCTGACCTCAAGTAATCCGTCCTCCTTGGACACCCAGAGTGCTAGGTTTACAGGTGTGAGCCACTGCACCTGACCCTCAAATTGCTACTTCTTTTACTACTTTGACAATGAAGTACTCAATAAATATTAAATACAATTAAATGCTAGGAACTGTGCCTAGCCTGTTACCTAAGTTGTAACAAAAGTTTTCTTAATTTGCAAGACTTTAAGATCAGGCTTTAACTTTTATTAAGCATCTGTGAAATATTTCCTTCCCTAAGGTCCCTTATCAGTAATATAAATAATTTTTATTAAGATAAAATTATCTCCTAAGTTCGGCATCAATATGGTGACCTCCCGGGAGCGGGGGACCACCAGGTTGTCTAAGGAGGGGTGAACCGGCCCAGGTCGGAAACGGAGCAGGTCAAAACTCCCGTGCTGATCAGTAGTGGGATCGCGCCTGTGAATAGCCACTGCACTCCAGCCTGGGCAACATAGCGAGACCCCGTCTCTAAAAAAATAAATAAATAAATAAAAATAAAATTATCTTACGCTAAAGAAATCTTCATACATCTGATAACACTAGTTATCAATCTCTATCCAAAGAAGAATTACAGAATTTTTTCTGTTGTAGTACTACAATAAGTATTGGGAATACATATGATTTTAGTAATTTAGTGCTAGAAGGAACCATGGAAGTAATTACAAATGGGGCAGCTGAGGCCTGGAAAGGTGGAGCCACTTTCCACCTTGGCAGTGCTGTTTTATAGCCAGGCTGAAAGGAGCTCCAGCCTTGGCTCCCTGAGAGTCAGGTGCTCTTCCTCCTATACTGTATTGTGCGCAGCATAAGCATTCAAAGGAGGCATGTCCAAACGCACAGTTGTGGCTTATAATCAACAGATTGTATAATGCACTAGCTTTTTAAAAGGGGTGGAACTATTTAGAGTCTCCCTATAAGATAGATAATGGGCAGGGCATGGTGGCTCACACCTGTAATCCTAGTACTCTGGGAGGCCAAGGTAGGTGGATCATTTGAGCTCAGGAATTCGAGACCAGCCTGAGCAAGAGTGAAATGCTGTCTCTACTAAAAAAAAATAGAAAAAAATTAGCTGGACAACTAAAAAACATATATATATAAAATTAGCCGGGCATGGTGGCACATGCCTGTAGTCCCAGCTACACGGGAGACTGAGGCAGGAGAATCGCTTGAGCTCAGGAGTTTGAGGCTGCTGTGAGCTAGGCTGACACCACGGTACTCTGGTGGGGGCAACAGAGTGAGACTTTGTCTCAAAAAAAAAAGAGAGAGAAAATGAATGTAAACAAGTCTAATTACATAGTGAATTCCTCTGAGGCAAGTGAAACATATTTATACTCTAGACAGCTGAGTGTTTTTCTAAATCTTTTAAACATTTTATTTTATAGAATAAGTATTGTATATGGTAGCAGTTACTTCCCAGGTTTGTATAACATCATGTACTCACTCTAAGGCATACCTGCTTGTGCTCCTTTGGGAAATTTAGACCTAATGAATTGTAATCTAAGATTTCTTACAAAGAAGATACAGAGTTGCATTAGGAAAATTCTATACATTCACAGCCAAAATATAGTTTATTCCTTCTAACTCATTTTGTATGCTAATACGATTTAAAAATATACAAGATAATGTATCCACATATTTGATTGATTTTTTTTTTACACAGGTGCTGCTTTTACTGAAGGTTTATCAAGTGGCTTAAGTACTTCTGTTGCTGTGTTTTGTCACGAGTTGCCTCATGAATTAGGTAAGAGAAATAAATAAAATGTATTTGCCAGGTGGGTGGAACATCCAGGTGGGTGTCATTGGCTTTTGCTAATAATAATTCCAGCAAGCTTCTTCATAACTTCCATGCCTTGTCATAAGTCTGCTAACCTAGCTGGCTTTCTTTTCTTACTCAGCACAAGTTTGTCTTCAGCTAGAATTCTAACCCCACAGGTATGAGTACACAGTTCCCTATGTGGGGTTGCCAAAGAGGTACCTGGGCCCCCATGTCATCATCTTTCCCCTACCAAATATCTTTCTATACCAGCATACTGGTGACATAAGTGATCATCTTCACATACATATTATAGATGAGACTACAGGAAACAAAAGAATCATCTTCCATTAACAGAAAGAAGTTAGGAAAAAAATCTCATTGGAGCTAAAGAAAAGGAAAGTTGATGAATTACATTTTTTTTTTTTTTTGAGACAGAGTCTCACTGTGTTGCCCAGACTAGAGTGCCATGGTGTCAGCCTAGCTCATAGCAACCTCAAACTCCTGGGCTCAAGCAATCCTCTGCCTCAGCCTCCCTAGTAGCTGGGACTACAGGTATATGCTACCATGCCTGGCTAATTTTTTTCCTATATATATTTTTAGTTGGCCAATTAATTTCTTTCTATTTTTAGTAGAGACAGGGTATCACTCTTGCTCAGGCTGGTTTGGAACTCCTGACCTTGAGCGATCCGCCCGCCTCAGCCTCCCAGAGTGCTAGGATTTACAGGCGTGAGCCACCACGCCTGCCCGAGGAATTATGTTTTGAATATTGTTCTTCGTTGTCAGTAGGACTTAAAACCTTTCCTACTTGTTCTGGATACCCGTTCACATCGTTGTTTTTCTTCTTATGGAGACCTATTCACACACCCCCAATGCCATTTTCACTTCTATTATTTGCCAGGTGTTCAGTCTGCCTGCTCAGTGGTGTTCTAATCCTCAACATCTAATTTATGTTCCCCATTCCAGATTTTTCATGCCATAGGAAGCCCGTCTCAACTGTTTCCATCTTCATGTATCTCTTTTCTCCTTTTATAACTATAACATTAGACTAATTAGCTCTTAATTCTATATTGCCTTTTAATTTACTGATCATTTCATGTGCGTTCTCCACCTTCTTTTCCCTTCCTTCACCTTCTTTTCCCTTACTTCCCTCCAATTATAAGCTCCTTGAAGCCAGTGCAAGAGCACAATAGTAAATTTGTGGTATTTATCATTCATTGCCAAAGTGTGTAAGCCTTAAGAAAACTTTGAATAAAGGATACCTTCATTTATAGAACTGTCAGAATACCTGGCTAACGCTCCTTTAGCCCTGAGTAATTCTTAATTTTGCTTCTTTTTTTCTCTCTCAAAAAAATTGGAGAATTTTCTTAAATCTGAGAAGTCTCTTAGGTATATGTCTTAAAACTGATTTTTCAATTAATTAACTTTTTTTCTCCCTTTTTGTTTTTTGTTAAAGGTGACTTTGCTGTTTTACTAAAGGCTGGCATGACTGTTAAACAGGCTGTCCTTTATAATGCTTTGTCAGCCATGCTGGCATATCTTGGAATGGCAACAGGCATCTTCATTGGTCATTATGCTGAAAACGTTTCTATGTGGATATTTGCACTTACTGCTGGCTTATTCATGTATGTTGCTCTGGTTGATATGGTAAGTTTTTAAGAAGTCAAATTACATTAGTGACTAAAAATAAAATAGAGAAAATGTTCAGTAAAACCCCATTTTAAAGAAAGGTTTTAGATTAAATGCAGTAGTGATGAGATGTGATTCTATATTCAGAAAGGTGGCGTGTAAGGTACACAGTTCCCTATGTGCAGTCCTTTAGAGTATATTTTTTTGAATTGTTAATTACAAGCACACCTTTATCCTGCCTAATGTGTATCAGGATGCACAAATATATCTTACCCCTTCTGATGTACCTCTTTATTTTTATTTATTGTTTTTTTAATAATTTCCTGATCCATAGGAACTGTGAGATGATGTATCTTTCTATAGTAGAATCTCAATAGTCATACATTGAATTGTCTATAGATCTATAGAAAACCTAGCATAAGCTACATATTGTTGGCGTGCTGTGTACTTCAGAATGCTGAAAGTTTCCTTATTTATCGACAAAGGAGTCTTATCTTTTTATCACGAAAGTCCTCAAAACAATCCCAGCCAGTCTTACTGCTAAAAGCATATTTTGTAGTATAAGGTTTTCTATATCTGGACTGAAAGTGAGGCTGAGTGAGGTGGCTCATGCCTGTAATCCTAGCACTCTGGGAGGCCGAGGCGGGAGGATCACTCAAGGTCAGGAGTTCCAAACCAGCCTGAGCAAGAGCGAGACCCCATCTCTACTAAAAATAGAAAGAAATTAATTGGCTAACTAAAAACATATGTAGAAAAAATTAGCCGGGCATGGTGGCAACTTCCTGTAGTTCCAGCTACTCGGGAGGCTGAGACAGAAGGATCGCTTGAGCCCAGGAGTTTGAGGGTGAACTAGGCTGATGCCACGGCACTCTAGCCAGGGCAACCGAGTGAGATTCTGTCTAAAAATACAAACAAACAAAATCATTTACAAAAATAAACTGAAAGTCAGCCACATGTTATATTCAGTTCAGATATGCAGCAAGTAACTAAAGCAGTAAAATCAATATAACTTTTCATTTTACAGTGGAACAAACTGAACCAATACAAATTTTTTAACACCCAGAACATCATGAATAATCATTGTTCATTAAACTGCTAGGAAATGCTGTGTGATATTATTAGGTAGAATCAGTTTGTATGTAGTCATGTTTTTAAGGAATTGATCCATAGCATACCCAGCTAGTATACTGTCCTACAATTTCTTCTAAAAACTAATATGATTCTGAAAACTTAAATGTTACTCTTTGCCCTCCCCCGCCTTTTTTTTTTCTTTAAGGTACCTGAAATGCTGCACAATGATGCCAGTGACCATGGATGTAGCCGCTGGGGATATTTCTTTTTACAGAATGCTGGGATACTTTTGGGTTTTGGAATTATGTTACTTATTTCTGTATTTGAACATAAAATTGTGTTTCGTATAAATTTCTAGTTAGGGTATAAATGCTAGAGTAGCTTAAAAAATTGTTGTCATAGTTTGAATAGGTCATAGGGAGATGAGTTTGTATGCTGTGATGTGCAGCATTTAAAGTTAGTGGATTTTGTGATTTTTGTATTGAATATTGCCATCTGTTATAAAGTCAATTATGGTGGTAACATAAAGGTACGTTTTAATATTTAAGTTATTGTATTTTGGAAATATAAGCTATATGTGCAATTCACCATTACCAGTCTATTGTATAAACAAGGGATTTGGCATGACGTGTTCTGTATATTTCAGGAAAAATGTCCTTAATACTTTTTCTAGAACTAATTTAACACAGTAATTCTCATGCTAGACTTTAGGCTGCTGAAGAACTGCTGGTGTTTAGGAGTAAGAATGTGCATAAAGCCTAAGATACCAATAAAGCTTGTACTGAATTAAAGCTAAGAAATAAAGAAGAAAACAGAAGAATCTGACCATTGAGAAGGCACAGATTTCTTATAAAATCACAAAGTTTGTTATAAGTTAGAGAAGGGAAATTTAGATTTAAATTTCAAAAGGCAGAATTAGTATAGAGTACATTCATAAACATTTCTTGTCAGAGTACTAATGTTCTTGTAAAAACACAGCACTTTTCATATACTAATTTAGTTGTACATTTAGCTTTGTATAATACATAAGTCTAAATATATTTAATGAATTCAAGCAATATATCACTTGACCAAGAAATTGGAATTTTTAAGTATTTGTGCAGAGATATACCAGATGAGTATGGTGAGTAATTTTATATGTCACCAGAAGACTTGGTTATTGCCAAGTTATGAATCACCAAAAGTTATATGAGTTGATGTTCTGGTTATCTGGTTTGCCAAATGTCAGAGTATTAAAACTTTGATATATGTGAAGACATTAAAACCATACTGAGTGTAATTTGACTTATTATATTCAGAAAGTACTTTGGTATCTTTCAGTGCTTCAGTGTTGTCATTGTGAGCAGTTGTCATTTTATATACGGTACTGTAGTCTGTGACATTTTCTAGATGTTTCTTTTTTACAGAATAAATTCCTCTTGTCAGCTCAATGTCAGATGTCTGATTTTCTTTATTTAAATGTAGCGTTCAGTCGTTTTTAAGTATAGTCACAATGTTGTGCAATGATCTCCAGACCTTTTTCATCTTGCAAAACTGAAATTCTATACCCATTAAACAACTCCCCATTTCCCCTGAGCCCCTGGGAACCACCATTCTACTTTGTGTTTCTATAAAATTGAGGTGTCTGATTTTTAAAATTATAATCCAGATTATAGTATACTAATCAGTTTAGTTATTGCATTAAGTAGCCTCATTCAGTTTTAAAACTCTTTATTACAAAGGGCACTTCAAAAAATACTGGTCTGCAGTTTGTTCCCAGCTGTCACTAACTTTTTTTTTAAACAACCGTGGACTAAACCTAGAGAAGAAACATTAATACTCTAAATTCTAAGAGAATCAGTGTTTTAATTTAGGATCTTTAAGATGGAGAGCACCTCTCCAATGATTAGGAGATCCAAAAGATGGAAGTAAAAGATTTTATTAATACTTACAGGTCTAGGGAGGTGGTACACAGTACGTCTGGAGGCCACAGATGCAGAAGTCAGGGAATACAAGCAGAGAGAGACAGGGACCTGTGAGCCAGTGCTTTTATTGGGCCTAGAGTGTTACCCAAACAGACTTCCCCTGGGGAGTTTAATTGATTGGTTTAAAGCAAACAGGAACGAGTTCCAAGAGACCACTGACTGAGAGTCAGTGGCATATCTGTACAGTTGATGTGGGGTGTGAGTGTCAGCTGGGCCAGTCATACAGACTGCATCTAGCTGTCCCATAGTGAATCGGTGACCAGGGAACAGTTCTATAAATAGATTCAAGCAATTGTAAAAGCAGCCTATATATATATTTGAGAACTTAGATATGGATTAATTTTGAGGGAAATACAAAATGTTTATTCAACAAAAACCAATAATTTAAAATGATCACATAAAAATTCTCCCATCCCCCAACACAAGCCCCAGTTTACTGTTTTACCAAAACTTCAAGATATAAATCTCTATCCAAATAGTTTCTAGTATCAAAAAGAGAAAGTTGTCCGGGCGCAGTGGCTCACGCCTGTAATCCTAGCACTCTGGGAGGCCGAGGCTGGAGGATCGCTCAAGGTCAGGAGTTCAAAACCAGCCTGAGCAAGAGTGAGACCCCCGTCTTTACTAAAAATAGAAATTAATTGACCACCTAAAAATATATAGAAAAAATTAGCTGGGCATGCTGGAACACGCTTGTATGTAGTCCCAGCTACTTGGGAGGCTGAGACAGAAGGATCATTTGAGCCCAGGAATTTTGAGGTTTCTGGTGAAGCTTACGAATGATGCCACGGCAACTGCTAAAGCCCAGGTGACAGAGGAGACCTCTGTCTCAAAAAAAAAAAAAAAAATTCCAAGCTGAGAGGATGGTTTCATTGGTAAATTCTACCAAATATATAAAAAAATAATAATACCAAGACAAATATCACATGTTCTCATAAGTGGGAGCTAAATAATGCGTACACATGGATGTAGAGCATGAAATGATAGGTAATGGAAACTTGGAAGGTTGAAAGGGCTGGGGGGATGGATGATGAGAAATTGCTTTAAATGGCAGGGTGAGGTGCTCACCGCCGGGTGTAATCCTAGCACTCCTGGGAGCCAAGGCCGGGAAGGATTGCTTGAGCTCAGAAAGTTGAAAAGACCACCCGGACAAGAGCAAGGTGCGTCTTACTATAAGAAGAAAGAAATTACCAAACAACTAAAATTAGAGAAAAATTAGCCAGGCCCATCGGTGGCCTTTCAAATGCCGGTAGTCCGCTACCAAGAGATGAGGCAGTGGAAGTCGCTTGACCCGGAGTTTGAGGTTGCTGTGAGCTAAGCCTGAGCCCCAGGGCTCTCCCTTATCCCCGGCAAACAGAGTAAGACAGTGGTCTCCAAATAAATAAATAAAAAAAATAAAAAACCATATAGATTGGAAAGGAAGAAATAAAATTGGTTGCCATCACAGATAACATAGATTTGTCCTTAATAAGAAAATCCAAGGAATATACAAAAAAACCCAAACCTCTAGAACAAAAAAATGAGTTTAACATTGTAGAGGATACAATGTCAACGCACAAATGGCAATCATACTCTATTTACTGACAATGAACAATTGGAGACTGAAATGTAAAATAAAAATTCCATTTACAATAGCTCCCCCAAAATGGCAACACTTAGATATAATTCTAAGCAAACATGTACATGATATTTATACTGAAATACAAGAAATGAGAGATAATACATGTTTTTCAATAGATTGGAAAATAACACAATAATTGTTCCCCATTCAAATCAAATCTTAAGCAGAATAATTTTTTAGATATAGATAAGCTGATTCTTAAATTTATATAGAAAGGCAAAGGGAATAGAATAACCAGAACAATTTTAAAGAAGAATAAAGTTGATGGAATCATACTATCTGACTTAAGAATTACTATAGGCCAGCGTGGCGGCTCACAACTGTAATCCTAGCACTCTGGGAGCTGAGGCGGGAGGATGGTTCAAGGTCAGGAGTTTGAAAACAGCCTGAGCAAGAGCGAGACCCCGTCTCTACTAAAAAATAGAAAGAAATTAATTGGCCAACTAATATATATATATATAAAATTAGCCGGGCATGGTGGTGAGTGCCTGTAGTCCCAGCTACTCGGGAGGCTGAGGCAGGAGGATTTGCCTTGAGCCAGGAGTTTGAGGTTGCTGTGAGCTAGGCTTGACGCCACGGCACTCATCCTAGCCTGGGCAAAACAAAGCAAGACTCTGTCTCAAAAAAAAAAAAAAAAAGACTTACTTACTATAAACCTACTCTTTAATTATGACTCTGTTGTATTGACCAAAGGTTAAACACATAGATCAATGGAATAGAAAAGAAAATCCAGAATTAGACTTACATAAATATAGCCAACTTATTTTTGACAAGGCTGAAAAAGTAATTCAATGGAGTAACAGTAGTCTTTACAAAAAAATAGTGTTGGTATAATTGAACATTATGAGCAAAAAAAAGGAACATCTACCTAAACTTCATGCTTGCACAAAATTTTATGAATCACAGAAATAAACATAAAATCACAAAACTTTTAGAAGAAAACACAGGACAAAATCTTCCTGACCCAGAGTTAGGCAAAACATGAACCAAAAGCATAATCCATAAAAGAATAAATTGATAATTTGACCCATTGAAATTGAAAATTTTTGTTCTGTGAGAATACACAAGAGAAGCTGCAAACTGGGAGAAAAATATTTGTAAATCATATATCCAACAAAGCGCTTGTATCCAGAATATATGTATATATATATACTCTCACAACAGTGAGAAAACAACCTAGTTCTTTAAAATGGGCAAAAGACTTGAACAGATATATCACCGAAGAGAATATATGGTGACAATGAAAAGATATTCAATATCATTGATCATTAAGAAAATTGGCCAGCCAGCAAGCTGTAAATCCAGGCACTCTGGAGCGAGGTAGTCGATGCTTGAGGTCCAGGAGTTCGAAACAGCACTGAGCAAGAGCGAACCCGCACTAAATAGAATATTAATTGGCAAATAATGTATATAGAAAAATTGCGGAGCATGGCGGAATGGCCGTGTAGCCCAGCTTAATTTTTAGAAAAATTAGCCGGCATGGTGGGCATGACTGTTAGTCAGATACTGGAGATGGTGGGAGCAGGATTACTTGAGACAGAGTTTGAGGTTGTGTGAAGCTAGCTACCGCTCGGAATCATTCTAGCTGGGCAACAAAGTATACTTTGTTCAAAAAAAAAAAAAGAAGAAAAAAATTGGCTGGCACGTGGTACACTTGTAATCTAGTTCTGGAGGCGAGGTGGGCATGATCAATCAAGGTCAGGAGTTCGAAACAGCCTAAGCAGGCAACCCTTCTTAGCTAAAAAGAAAGAATTTAATTGGCAACTAAACTTAATTAGAAAAATGCCAGGGCATGTGGCGATACTGTAGTCAGTCAGGAGGTTTGCAGAAGGTGCTTGATCACAGGAGTTTGAGGTTGCTGTGAGCAGGTGACGCAGCACTCTAGCCCAGTCACAAGTAGGACTCTACTCAAAAACAAAAAAGATTTAAACCATTGGAATGGTCATATCTCTCGTAATGGCTCACAATAAAAGTCTGAAACATCATTTCTGGCAAGGATGTGGAGCGACTGAACTTTCACATATTGCTGGTGGGTGTACAAAATGGTACAGCCCCTGTGGAAAGCAATTTGGTAATATCTCTCTCTTTTTTTTTTTGCATGCATCTTTGTGGAATGAAAGCATTATATGCTGTATGCTTTTTATTTGTTTTGTTTGTTTGTTTTTGAGATAGGGTCTTGCTCTGTCACAGGCTGGATGCAGTGGCCTCATCATAGCTCATACAACTCAACTCTTGGCTCAAGCAATCCTCCTGCCTCAGCCTCCTAAGTATCTGGGGCTACAGGCATGCACCATCACCCCTGGCTAATGTTTTCTATGTTTTGTAGAGAGGGGGTCTGACTCTTGCTTAGGCTGATCTTGAACTCCTGAGCTCAGCCAACTCCTCCACCCTGAGCCTCCAGAGTGCTAGGATTAACAGGCATGAGCCGCACACCAGCCTATCATTTCTTTTTAAAGCTGATAATATCCATGATGTCTATATGCATTCCAGAATACATTTTTTTTTTTTATTTTTTAATTTTTTTTTTTGAGACCAGACTCTGCTTTGTGCCACGGCTAAGTGAGTGCCATGGCGTCAGCCTAGCTCATAGCAACCCAAACTCCTGGCTCAGCAATCCTCCTGCCTCAGCCTCCCGCGAGTAGCTGGGACTCAGGCATTCGCACCCATGCCCGGCTAATTTTTTCTGTATATTATAGTTGGCAAATTAATTTTTCTATTTTATATAGAGACGGCGGGTGTCTCGCTCTGTCAGGCTGGTTTTCGAACTCTGACCGAGCACTGCGCCGTCGGCCTCCCAGAGAGCTAGGATTACAGGCGTGAGCCACCGCGCCCGGCCCCAGAATACATT